TCCTAGTAGCGTCCTTGCTCCTAGTAGCGATGCCAGGAGCCCCTAGTGGCGTCCTTGTCCCTCTTTGTTGCACCACTAATTCCGTGCTTTTCACCTCGACGGTTTTGCCGCCAGGTGGTCATGGTGGACCGCCAGACGAAACGCTCGAGGGGCTTTGGTTTCATCCGCTTTGCCCACGGCCGACACGGGAGCGCGGCTGCGCAGGACGGTCCATGGCGGTGGGGTGGGGTGGTGGGCTACGGAGAGCGTGGGCTGATGGATTTATAATGATTTATATATGTGGGTTGCCTTGAAGTGATGCTTAGGCAATGGTCCATGAATTGAGTTGAGGTTCATGTAACATTTCCACCGTATACTGGGAGAGATTTCCAGAGCAAAACCAAACCATCAACCAGCGCTAGTTGGAGGAAGTGGCTCAGGAGGAAACCTCTGACCACAGCTTGGTGGCTGTTGCACAGAAATCCCAGCATAGCTGATGCAGATGTTTCTTTTGGCAAGTTCCTCTCTCAACCCCCACTTCCATGGCGTTGGCTGGTTGGATCGGCCAAGCTGGAGAATTCTATTTTTTTTTTTCGGGATTTGTATGCGTAAGATTGGACACCTTGGGTACTGCACTGTAGAATGTGTTTTCCAGAACTAGAAGACAGAGGTGTCCGCTCAGGCTCTCCATTTGGGGCTCTCTGACAGTATTTGGCCCGTTCCGAGATGCGAGGCCGTGCTAAGAGACTTCCAACACCACTGGCTGGAAGGCTTGGCTTCATGTGTGGAGAGCATTATGCCGCGCATTCTATATGCTAACTTCCTTCTTGTTCCCACCCTGGTCTTAGATATGCAGTTTGTGCAAATCAGAACATACCTCATTCTGTATAGTTCCGTTGTTCTTTTTTCACCATCCTAAATCAGCCACTGAGAAGAAGCACCCATGACTCATCACGGTTTCGCATTGCTCCCCGGAAGCAAGGGCTTAGTCACTGCATGCAAGCCCCTCAAAAAATTGCTGGGGCCACTGAAAGAAACAATGCTGCCCTTGCGGGCAGCTGATTTGTTCATATTTTTTCGCTGCAGATAATAGTAATTTTGCACTCTTCCAGCAAGGCTCCGAGAGCTAGAGCTCCAAGCTGTTGCCATGTGACATGTCCTCAACGGCACTTGTCGGTCAATGTTCAGGAAATGTCCCGTGCGATCTCCGGGATAAATCTGGCCAAGACTACATGAATCCAGCAAACAGAAACTGGCCATCCTCAAACCACCTCAGGCAATGATACACTGGGATCATCTGAGGTAAAGATGGTAAAGTCCCAAACCGATCGACCTGGTTTTGAGTGTTTTAGTCTTGCACACTGAGCTACAACGGAAAACGAGAACACAGGGACGGGAGCTCCAAACGGAGAGCCCGCGGGACCCGTGATGACATGGCCTGGTGGCCAGCATGCTGCAGGCGAGGGAGATCAAACTTTGGACCACCAAAGTGGCCAATTGAACAATTGAACCTCCATCGTTCTTTCGCACAATTTGAACCTTTGCCTGGGAGGTCAGAGGCCTTCCACGCAGACGAGGGGACCGAGAGCGGGGAGCTACCTGGAGTGGTGGCTGATGCTGGAACGGACGCTCCAGAGGCATCCGAGGTGGGTTGCGAACGGCTGCACTTGGTTGTGAACACAACATTTGGTGACCACAAGCAATGCGCTTTCAGTTTTCAACTAATTGCTGTATTCAGTTTGATTCATGTCTGTGGGTGTTATTCGCACTGCGGTTTCCAGTATAGACGCGGGGTCTTCTTGTCTGTTGATACCAGGCAGAAGAGACTCAGCCTGAGGTTGGTCCTGAGCCCGGAAGCTGAGCACCTAGTAGCGATGCCCTTTGCTCCTAGTAGCGTCCTTGCTCCTTTAGTAGTACGGCCAGGAGCCCCTAGTAGCTTCTTGCTCCTAGTAGCGATGAAGGATTTGTAGATTTTGTGGATTGTCAATAGAAGTTTCTGGAGAGGCTGGGCTGTCCCCTATCATAGGCATGGGGCCACCAATTAGACGATGTTTTGTTTCTTGAAGAAGTGGGTGCCTACAATCACCGGGTGCCAACAGTTCCATTCTTTTGAGGATTCCTTGACAGAGGAACCAATCTCAGGCTGGGGTTCGACTGTAAGAGACACAAGATTTCGAGAGCCCATGTGCGGTGCTTGGGATGTCCTTGTTCAGACAGTGTCTTGGGCATAGGTTGACCCAATATCCCGCAAAACTGGAGGTGTTCTGTTTTGGTCAGGAAAGTGGGAAGGCGCCACAGCTAACATCACAGGTTGCTTTTGTCGCCATCTGGGGTGGCTGAGGTTTGGGATGGAGGTTCGGATCTGCCCAGTGAGTGGCCTCTCCACCTTGCAGGTCGGGGATGGGGGGAACCAGTGAGCACAGTTTCCCAGATACATGCAAGTAGGATGAGTAGTGGATGCCGGTCACTGAGAGAATCCTTGCGACACTGCTTCGGAGCTTGATGAATTTCTCAAGCACTAGTGAAACAGCAGCTTTAAGTGTGACAATCTGAGGGCCATTTACTGCGGTGAACGAACGATGACGGCCTTCAATATACTAGGGTTCCGATTGTGGAGTTTGAGGCATGTGCGTGAAGAGGGCGCCCGATGCACAGGTTTGGGTTTTGGGGTTGGCTCGGCTTTAGGACTTTGAAGGAGCTTGCGAAGTCGCCCAAAGCAGAGCTTTTGGTGCTCCTGCGAGGGCACTGAACAAGAAATGGGGTCGACTGATGCAAGAAAGCGGTGTGACATTCTGCCCTGTTCTTAGATCAACTGAAGTTGACCACTCAAAGGAACCCAATGACGAGGCGATTACCTTATCCATGCAAAAGCTTCTCGAGGAAGGTTATCCTGGCCGCATTGCATTGTTGACATCAGATTCCGGTTTTGTCGAGGCCACCTTCAAGCTGAAGGCTTCTGGGGCCACAGCGACTGCACTGATTCCAAACTCTAAGCATAAGGTTATTGCCAGATATATGAATTCGGGCGTGCAGGGTTTGACGCTAGACTCGCCCAACAAAGATGATGGTGGTTCACGGGTTCGAGCCATCCTTCATTCATGCTGATGGAGAGGGCTCTGTGGAGCACGCAGCTGCGTACAAGTCGTTCGAAAACCGCCATGCAGCGGAGAATGTGTGGGACTTCCTGGAAGGCCTAGGATATGCGAAGAAGGAAGGATACTTCCTCGGACCCGCTTGCACGAAATTCTGGTTTGCATATGGCATATGGTTGGGATCGTTGGTGGTTTACTCTGCACAGCTTTCAACGCTGGCGGTGCACGAGGTCATCAGTCAGCCCACAGGGTCCAAGTCATGGAAGCCGTACAGGGAGAACTTGGCCTATTTTTTGCCGGCTAGTGGTGGAAATGCAAGAAGCGGCAGTAAGGCATATGGGGGCATATTGGCTCGTGCCATTTTCGGGGTGGCCCTTTCATGCTGTATGATTCGCCGTCACGGGTATCTGAGGCATTTAGGAGGCTTGGTTATCTTGACGACTTGAACACTGACCAAGCAGAGGCAATGTTCAACTTTGTGAATGTTTTTACGAAATAAGGTCATTCTGAAGCGGGTCGGAATGATGCCTGACCATACAGATAGCAGCTGTGATGTGAAAGAGAAGCTTCGGGCAGCTTTCCTCTCCCATAGATCTCAGCCTCACTGGCAGATGCTTGGTGACCCAAGTGAGTGTGTGCAACAGATCCTGTTCAGCGAATATCTCCTGGCCAAATCGCAACTTGGGTGCTCACCTCCTCAAATGCTTGGTGCAATGAATGCATACGTCAAGAAGTACCAGCTTGCGCCCATGAAGACCTTCAACGCACTGGCTCGTGTGATTGTGAATCACAGTGACAAGAGCCCGTCAAAGCGCAGGATGATCGAGTCACCCAAACCCTTCAAAGTGAAAAAAAGGACTTGCACACCGCACACCTGATTTGCTGCAGACTTCATGATGCTCCTTTCTTGCTGGGGGGCTGAATGTATGTTTTACCCTGCCTCGTCATTATAACATGTTATATTATGTAAACACATTGCCCCGAGTGATCCGCTACGTAGTTAGGGAACGAGCTTTTATGCTCACTTGGCCTTTTGGTTTCAAGTTCTTTCTTGGGGGCGCTCTTGAGCGTGGGGCGCCTGTGGGCGTGATGCCTGGCCCATGGGTATACCTGCCAGATAACCAGGAATACTTCAAGGAGCTGGAACTTGTGGAACATGGGTACTATGAACTCAAGCTCTATGATGAGGAAGGAAATGGACAAGGAACTGGTCTCTGGCAGGTTACCCATATGGTCATATGGTCGAAAAGAAGAAAGAGGGGATTTGGTTGGAAGGACGCTTGATTGCAGCCAATGATCCTCACTTACAGTGGTGGCTAAAGGATGGCGAAGGAAAGGATTACGAGAGAAAGTTTGTGATTCACCTATGCGCTACTCCTTCAAGCGGTTGTCGGAAGACAAAGCGGCACAGGGAGCAGGAATTCCATTCCGACACCTACCGGGAGATTAGCTCGGGCGACATCATCAGCAAAAGAGTTGGCTGGTTCAAGGGGGACGCTGAGACATCGGATATTGATCACGAGGTGGCAGTCTTGACAGGATCACCCCCTGTAGAGCCGGCAGCTGGTGATCGCCGCGGTCCGCTGGGACCAAGCAAGTTATCCTGGGATGAAGGGGTTGGACGTGCCATGGACATGGATGAACCGCCTGCGGGCGAGGATGTGAAGGAACGTTTGGCTGAGCTTGGAGCCCGTGTGGGTGTTGGAGGCACTGCCCGTGATGACAAGCCAAAAAGGGGCAAGACCAAGGTTGATGAAGCTCCACCTACGGGTGAGAAACCGAAAGAAAAAGCAAAGAAGACAACCGGTAAAAAGAAGAAGGCCCAGGATCCTCATTGGTTTGGCCGCCCTGTGTCTGAATCTGATGAAGTTGTCGGATCGGACGAGGCTGGCTCTGAGGAGCAGAATGACCTCGTTGACGAAGGAAGGACTACAGGACGAAAACGCAAGCCGACTCGAAAGAGAGGCAGCAAGAAGCACGGCAAGCGGATGAAGGGTGAAGACCGGGGACCCTTTGGAGTGGGTCACAAGGTCGAATTCAAGGACTCGGACAGGTCAGACGATGACGATTCCGGGTCGTCTTTTCACGCGGGCCCCTCCACGAAGTCCCGGCAATTGCAGCTTCAGGAGTACTCGGAGCAGTACCCCGGGCGATTGGCGGCACGACTCCTGCAGAAGATGGAAGAGATCCTAGCTCGGCAGGAGGGGCCCTTGTCATCGAAGGCCGAGCGAAACTTGACTCCAGCGACCGCAACCTCCTATTTCCTGACGGTGCTACTTCCCCAATACAAGGACAGAATAAATCTCAGGACGAGTCGGGAAATAAGAACCCTGTCCAAGGTTCTGGATCTCATGGCAGTCGGAAACGTGAAAACAGCAGGGGACGTGGTCGCTCAAAGGATAAAGTCCCTAGAGCTGTTCCTGGCAGACCAGGTGTGGGGAAGAGCGCAGCACCTGGAGCTCATTCCGCCCGAGGGCGTGAATCTTGTAGGAAAGGACGAGACTCTGATGGCGACAAAGGAACAGGTCACAGACCAGAAGATGAAGTGGGCAATAGCGGGTTACACCCCGTGGAGACCACTATCGAAGGGAAAAGGAGACATGGAGGAGAAAGGAAAAGGAAAAGGAAAGGGCAAGGGAAAGAAGGGGAAGAAAGGAAACGACCACCAAGAGACAGCCCCTACCGCTTGATGGACAAGTCAGAAAGTGAATCGTCTGAGGGCGTGACCCTTCTTCCCCCTTTCCTGGGTCCATCGGATGTTGACCAACGTCCTCCCTTGCCACGGAAGCCGCCAGTTGTCGGACCAGCTGACGCTTCTGGTGATGATGATCCAGAGACGGTCACTAGGGATTTGTCTGATCGGGACGACGGTTGCCAGATCAATCCGCATGGAGTGGATGTTGAACCATGCGAGAGCGTTCAGGAGTGGACAGCCATGGTAAGGGAGCTGTTCAAGCAGAAGGCTAATTTTAGCGATCTGGGTCAACACCTGTATGCCTTGATGCTTGTGTCACCAACCCCGCTCGGCAATTTCGTTCGTTCGTTTTGTGTGACCACACAACCCTCCACCCACACTTCACGAAGGCGGGGTCGATCAGGGGATCTATTGCCAATACCACCTTGGCGAATTACAACTGACGTTCCTGGTGTGACGGAGGCCAATGTTCTATGGTTGAAAGCTGTCATTTGTGTCATCAACTTCCAATATTGCGTGGGCTGGAGCAATCCAGTATGCGTGCCCATCGACGATGACCTGACAGATGTTCAAAAGATGGCGATTGGGGAGATGGGCCAAGTGATAACAGCAAACATTATTTCCGGTACGCCGGTGAAAACTTTGGGGGAGTGTGAAAAACTCCTCAATTCCAAAAGATATGATTATACGGGAAATCCAGTCGAGTACATGGAAGAACTGGAATGTGACAAAGTGACACCGGCGTGGCCGCGGCCAGGTCAGGCCGCAGTACAGCCAGTGGAGGCTTTCCTTTCGCCTGAGAGCAAAAAGGTTTTTGATTCACCGAGGAGCCTTCTCCTCCCACCGGACAAAATGCCGAAGCAGGCCTTGAGATCCCGAGTGCGGGCAACGGATAAAGAATGGTTTAAGATAGTGTCCCGCGGGACCGTCAGGGGCGCCTGATTACAAATGGAGCTGGAGGTGTCTACAAAGAAAAGATCATCGATGGAAGGCCTACCCATTGTCAAAGATTCATTTCAATCCTATGCCCGATCAACGCAGTGACGATGGCGATCCCAGGGGCTCAGGACACCTTGCCTTACGTGGGCCAATTGACAGGAATCCTGTTGGAAGAAGATGAGGGGCTGTTCCTCGACAGTGAAGACCTGCAGAGTGCGTTCAACCTGTTTGGGGTCCCAGATACATGGCTCCCTTTCTTTGCCTACAGCAAGAAGGTGGATGCGAGTGCCTTTGGGCTGCCAAAAGGAAAGATGGTCCGGCCGGCGCTGAGTGTCGTCCCCATGGGATGGCATTCAGCTGTGGCATTGGTTCAGGAAGCGGTGAGAAACCTGGTGTTTGAAAAGGCACAGATTCCACGTCAGTTCTCCATTGAGAAGCACAAGCCTTTGCCAGAAGAAAAGAAGTTCACGATAGTTTACCTGGATAACTATGATGAGATTCAGGTCATCAAGCGCTTGGACATGGACATGTCGAAAGAGGGTCATGAGATTTCAGAAGACCACCAGAAGTTTATTGATGCTTGTGATTCGGCCCACCTACCAAGGAATATCGGAAAGCAGCTTATCCATGCTTTTGCAGGAGGATTGCAAGGGGGTGAGCTTGATGGGTCGCGTGGAGTACTAAAACTCCAAGCAGAGAAGCTGCGAGCATACATGGAGGTGAGCCTGTGTCTTCTTACCAAGAAGCGGTGGTCGGAGTTCCAACTGAGGCATTGGACAGGAAAAACTGCCTTTTTGGCAACCTTCAAGCGCTCGCTGTTTTCGGGAATGGCAAACATTTTCACTGCAATTGAGAAGGCAAGGGTTACGCCTGTTGGAGCATCATATGAGGTCATTGATGAAATCATGTGTATGATGATCGAGTCACCCCTGAGCCAAGTCGAGTTGCGGGCCAAGATTTCCCCTGAGATCAGTTGCACTGATGCTTCGCCAACAGGTGGCGGCAGTGCAGTGGCCACAGAATTCAAACCAATGCCTGATGTGCACGGGCCACCGGTGTCCGATACTACACGCTGCAACGCCTGCCATCACGACCTCCGAAGTAGTGATGGACGTGTAGCCTACCCGTGCCCTGTCCGCTGTGGAGCGAGCTTGTGCTCCGTTAGGTGTGTCATCAGCCATCGTCCCTCCGGGTGCGCCCGCGTTATGTTCCCAGTGCCATTGTTTGGGGAACGTTTCAGTGGACCAAATTTCCCCCTGACCAAGGCGGTGGCGTTGGCGGGGGTAGGTGTGCAACCACCCCTTGATGTCCTTGTGAAAGATGATGCGTGGGACTACACCACAGAGGCCGGAAAAGAGCGCTTGGATGAATATGAGGCAGATCCAGGGCTGATGGCGAGCCATTGGGCACCAGAGTGCAAAACTTTCTCAGCCGCGAGGGGTCGACCCGTCTACGCCACTTCAGGAAGATGGCTTCAAGGGCCGAAGGCTCTGCGAACAAGGGATAAGCCCTGGGGAATGGATCATCTGAATCCGGCTGAACAGATTCTGGTTCGGCGCGGTAATGCAATGGCAAAAAGAAGCCTGAAGGGGCTACAAGATGCCTATGAGCGGAAGAGGTTTGGTTGCCTTGAACATCCGTGGGGTTCACACCTGTGGGCCACTCCCGAAGCCACGGAACTTGCATCAAGGCAGGGTATGTTCCACACCTATTTCTCTGCCTGTTGCTTTGGTGGTTCTCGGACAAAGTGGACAAGCCTCCTGCACAATGTCTCAGAGCTGCACGCGGCTTTGCGCACACCCGTGTGCCCAGGTCACCAAGGCCTCTTGCCGTACGAGGTGCGCGACGAGGATGGGGTTCTCCGATTTGATACAGCGGCTGAGGCCGAGTACGCTTGGACGCTATGCAAAGTGTACGCTGAGGCGTTGAGAGCAGCATTGGCTAAGAGAGTGAGCGTTCCCTTTGGGATTCAAGCCTGGGATGCTAAAGCGGCCATCCTTGCTGCTTTGAAGCGCTCCACCAGAGGAATGCAGAGTGATGGAGCAGCTGAAAATGTCTGCCACGAGGTCCTCAACATTCTGAAGACTATGAATGTTGGCCGTGAACAGAAGCACCTGAGGTGGCTTCTGAGGAATATCTGCATTCGTGGGACCGAGGTCCGGTTTGAGTCAGCGAAAGAGGACGGGTCTGGATCCTTGCTGGTCCCTTACCCCGCATATCGATGGCAGTGGAAGACCAAGCTGTCTTATGCGTGGCAGCGCACGCAGCACATCAACGTGCTGGAAGTCTCCGCCTTCTTGGTGGAGCGCCCGCTTTTTCAATGTCACTGACAGTCAGGTGACTTTCTTCTGCTTGTCCAAAGGACGAAGTAGTTCGGTGCGGCTGAACCGCCTGCTGCGCCGTGTCAATGCATTGATCTTGATGAGCCGAGCTATGCCCTTGCACTTGTGGACCATCTCCAAGTGGAACTTTGCTGATGCGCCGAGCCGGCGCTTTGAGCAGTGAGCATGCCGCGGTCTAAACATTTGCGTGAAGCAGGGATAGCTAAACGGACAATCAAGATCTATGAGCGTGAGGTTTCACTGTTCCTGTCCTTTTTGCATGTTGCAAAGATTCCTTTACCCTCCAACTTCAGGGCCTTGGACAATGAAGTTTCTGAGTTCATCAATCTGATGTATCAAGAAGGGGAGAGTATTTCGCGTGCAGGGTGGCTCCTTAGTGGTTTAAAGCGTTTGTACCCGCGTTGTCGACGGGAGCTGTGCATTTCGCAGCAGTGGTACACAAATTGGACTAGAGAGCATGTCCCGACACGAGCAACCCCACGCACATGGGAGATGGTCCAAGCATTTATTGGTTTGTGTCTTCGACAAAAGTGGCCTCACTTGGGCCTGATCTTTCTTTTGGGCTTCGTCTTCCTTTTGCGCATCGGTGAAGTTATTGGTTTAGCCTTGACAGACATTGAATGTGACCTGACTACCTCAACAGTCCTTATCCGACTTGTCAATACGAAAACTTCACGGCAGCATCAGCAGTTTGTCGCACACACTGACAGAAATTTTGCCCTGCTTACGCATTATTTCTTTCGGTCTTTGGACCCGTCTATTCCACTATGGCCTTATTCACTTTCTTATTTCCGCATTTGTTTTCGTGCTGTGACTTCATTTTTTGACCTTGAAGAATTGAATTTGGTTCCATACAGTCTCCGCCGTGGCGGGGCTTCTTATTTCTATGGGGCTCAAAAAGCGTTGGACTTTGTGATGATTCAAGGCCGTTGGAAAGATCAACGAACTGCCAGATTGTACCTGGATGACGCTCGGGCCTCTTTGATCTCCATGCAACTTTCTCCTACCTCTAAGGCACTGATTTCCTCTTTCCGTGTCTCTTTTCTTCGTTTTTGTACTTCGCTTCGCAAATGACTCGTGGAGTCCTCCTGGTTGGGGGTCCTGTGTGGTGCTCTTTTTGACTCCACTTTGCTTGGGCTGGTTGTGGTGTTCTCTTCTTCCTGGTGTTGGCTGTTTGCTTTCTGGTTACTCTCCTTGTGAGCAATTCACTTCCACTTGCGAGTGTGTCGGTGGTGTAAAGGCTGAATTCATTTCACCACGTACAGTCTTCTGCACCACAACCTTTGCAAACTCCGGTTGTGTGGTCACAAAAAAGGACTCACTTGAGCATAAATATATATATATATATACTGTATATATATATATAAGATTCTTATCATGCAAGCTTGACCTTTGGGGTGACGATATATAGAGGCAGCCCGTTGGAACTTGCGCTTATTGGAATTCAGAGCGTAGACCTTTGAAAGTGTGACCTGTCACAGACATGCAGCACTCACTTGGTGACGCGCACTTTCCTAGTGACGGAGGGAACACCTAGCTCGCATGAGGGTAGGTCACGCTAAGTCAGGCTGCAACTTGCACAATCCAGCGCGTGTGTGACGGTCTCCTGAGTGGTGCTAGATGTTTGAACACCCTTGTCCAGCTGAACGCCTTTATTTCAAGGACTCTACAAAAAGAAACCGCGTGTTTGTTGAGATGCCGCCTCCACTTGTCAGGGTGCTTGTCCCTTCGCCAAGCCTAAAGCCAAGGCAAGGCGACTGATTGAACGTGGAGTGGAATCATGAACGAAGTATGACTACTGGGCAGCCAGAATTGACTAGCACATGATGATCCCACATTTTTCTTTGCGTTTTGGTTTTGGTTTGTATTGTATTGTAGCTAGCCCTTGTTCATCTCATCTTCATGTTTTTACATTTTTTCCACGCCTTCCAGAGCTGGACCTACCCAAGTGACATTGTCTCTATTCCAGCTGCCTGCACCCTGCCACGATCGCTTGTGTGAGGCCAAAGATGGCGGAAAAAAACAGAAGGCCTTGGGCCTTGATTTGTCGTTTGAGGGTCATGCACGCCTTTGGTAGAGGAACTTGCAATATGCAATATGTATATTTGTGCAGCCCACCTTCTGCTTTGGTGCGAGGATTCTAAGTGACTTACATAGTGGTTGCAGGTCCAAGGTCCAGGCTGATGTGCCTGCCCTGTAGCTGTGGAAGACAGTTTGTCATCATTTTAGTCAGTACTTCACCATCACCGATACAGGGGCGAGGCAGGGCCCCCAATTTCCTCTGGAGCGCTTGCCAAGAGGCGGCCAGTAATTGGGCGGATGGGGCGGATGGGCTGAACGACCTGCTTTTGCCATCTTGACGATTGATGTTAGTTTGTTCCACAGCCCCGCTTCCAGGCCAGTGTGAAGTTGGACTTCAAATGGAAGCAGGCCACTGAATCACGGGGTCCAGGGTCAGTCCAATCGACTGTCAAGTCTGTTAAGACCCCGAAGAGTCTTGTTCCTTTGGATGATCGATGATACTGATACTTGAATGGCTAGCATGGACCCTGCAGATTCGGCAATTCTTTCTCTAGAGCAGCTCCCTCAGCATGAAGTGATCCCTTGGACATGTTTTTTTTTTTAAATGAATTTCGTGCTTCAGGACCCCACACACACACACCCACACGCGCAATCTTTCTGTCTTCTCTCTTGAAAGGGTTTCTTCTGGCCTGGAGTGTTGGGAATTCCAAAAAGCATGACTCAAACCATGACATGGTTTTCATAGATCCTTGGAGGACCTCCGGAACAGGAATCCCAACCCGGCCAGGATGAAAGCATGGTGGTGATCAAGGTTTGCCCTGGGCTCAGAAGATGAAGAGCGTTTGTGTGTCTTTTAGGGTCTCTCCTATTTGAACTTTTGGTACAGTAAGCCTGCGAAGCAGCGTCACAATAAGCTGGGGGTCAGTCTCACATTAAGCCTGCAAAGCAGCCTATGCCTCATAACGTGGATCATCGCTGTTGCGGCTGTTGCGCCTGTACCAGTTCCAGCAACAAAGGTGCTCACCACACGGATGCCTTCACCACCATGGAGCTTCCCAACAGCGCTTCCCAGGAGGTGGGGAGCGCTTCCCAGGAGGTGGGGAGCGCTTCCCAGGTGTTTGGAGGTCTCAAGAAGTCTCATCACAGGATTTGGACACAGGCATTGATCCTTCTTCGTTTTCATTGACGGTCCAGCCGCAAGCAACGACTCAATATGTCTCCTGGCCAGGAGATCAAAAAGCAGTACAAGGCGCTGTCATTGATACACCATCCCGCGGGATGCCCAGATGTTTCTCGAATTGTCACCATCAAACATTGTTTGGACCAGTGCTGTGCGGTGAGTCCCGGTGGGTCTAGTTCCATTCATACCAGTTTCGTGAGCAGACATGACGAAGTCGTGAGTCACATAGACGACCTTGTTGGTTGGGACGCAGGAGGTATTGTAGCCCCGTGCAGTGCTGAGTCTGTAAATGTGTGGGGGCACGTTTGGATGAACTTACGACAGAGGACAAGAACCAAGATGATGTGGAGGCTGCCACTGAGCGCTTTCAAAGGACCAAAGATGTCCTGTGCTGGGGAGCTGGTCTTGGAGGTGGGGGATTCTTGTTGAGGCCCACAAATCTAGGGAAGTGTAACGGATTCAAAAAGGGTTCCCTGCGCGGAACCTTAAGAACAGCTGGCGGCTGGGAAGGTAATGCGGGCGCGACGAAGGGTGGAACCATACCAACTTGCTGCCGAATCCTATCTTTGGATCATGTTTGGCTTCCTTTCCTTCCTTGTCATCAGGCATTCTCGTTCTATCTTTCTCTTTGCATATATACACCTTATTGCGACTCAAACAGCTGATCTGGCTTTGCAGGATCAAAGACGCTTACGCTTTGATCAAGGACACAGACGGCGAGCTGGCCTTTCCCTGGGATCAGCACCCTGAGAAGCAACAGGCACGTAATTGGGACTCAGTTCACCTCAGTGATTCGCTGGAGGCACACAAGGGCTCCGAAGGCCCATTTTTTGGCCCGCTCCTACTTAATTACTGTAAGTAGGCCAAGTAGGCTGCCTACTTAATTAAGTAAGAGAGAAGTAAGCTACTCGTACTAGGAGAAGTTCCCTCCCACATATGGACGCACGCTTCTGCAATTCAAGGCAGCTCCTACCGCCTGAGGGCGGGGAGGGAGCTTCCTTGAAGAAGCGCTCGCACTAATGATTGAGATCCTAGATTTTGAGGGGAACTTGGTGTTTGTGAGGAATCTTTGATATTCTTTGACTGGTCGGATGGCGTCGGAAAAAGAGTGTCTTCGTCATCTCAGAAGGGTCCGTTCATGTCGCACCTGATGTCGAAGGTGATGAAAGGGGATGAGGCAGTGGCTGTCTTTGCGGAGGCGAGGCATCTCCTCAGGCTGTTGAGGCTTCAAGGTGCTCCTCTATAGTCTATACTTATGTGTCTTCGTTCTGAAGATTGAAGTGGAATTGGGTGTTTGCTGCTTGTTAGTACACTCCTGAGGGAAGAGCAACTACCTTTCAATGCTTATGCTCTGTCCAAGGGATATTGCATGGTGCTGTCGTGAAATAGTTGGTCGACAAGAGTGAAGATGAAGACCTGCTGTCGGGTTGAACCAGCATGATATAGTCATCGGCTCATCTGCCAAATCTCCCACCAGGGTCAAGGTGCTGTGACGGAGACGGACGCCTGATGAAAGAGGTTGAGACACGTTGAGACGATCTTCCTAAGCTCAGCCACCTTGAGTACTGGTCAGGTCGGACTGGAAGCCTGCGAGGAACACCATTTCCAGGCCAGAGATCTTTGTGGTTCGAGGCGACTAGGTTTGTTGGAGCTGTCTCTCGCTCTCTCTCTCTCACTCTTTGTCTTTGGCTCTGTCTTTAGCTGTCTTTGTCAGGGTGTCTTTTGGACTCGCCATGAATTGACCATAGTAGCAGGCTTCCCAAGTTGATCAGTCTGAGATCCAATCATGGACTTCCAGGGGCTCCAGCTTCGACACTTGGTGAAGTCCTCTGAAGAGGTCAAGGCGGGGTGGCCGAAACAGACTGCATGGGTGGGGCACATGGGCGGTTTGGTCTTGGTCTTGGTTTGGTCTGGTTGGAGTGTCTCAATGAGCCACGTGATGCAAAAGACTTGATCAAGCCTCCCATCGGCACTCCGCTTGATGTATCATGACACCAGGAGTATGGCGGTAGACCATGCCCTCAACCACTTTGCTTGTAGGAGAACTGCAGTATTCTCAAGCTGCAAGCTGATGGCAGGTCTTGAAATTCGACAAAGAATCGGAGGGTGGGCACATTACCGAGTGCTGGCTGGATGCTATTTGCCTGAGACCTAGCTGACCCGCAGTTTCTCTCTTCTTCTTTGTCGGTGCAAGGATTTTCTTATGATTTGTAACGTGCAGGATTTAGGATTGGGACACTGAGAGAGGTCCTGCTAGTTCTCGAAATCAACACCCTGTGATTTCCAAGGTGCAGGCTCTCCCCATTTCGTAAGCCACTTGGTGAAGGCTGGCACGAATTGGTCATCTACTTTAATCGTTTTGGATGTACTTTCCTGGTTATGGCTGGGGATCCCTACGTCTCAGCGTCCCTAAGATCAACATACCTGTGTTTCTGTGTGTGAAGCTCCTCAGGTGTACCGTCGTGCAGGGACTCTCAGATATTCTCTTTGTTGACGTTATCTTTCGGCACATCTCCATGTGGCCAACTAGCCCAAAAAGATTATCAAGCTGAAACGCGCTTTTTGTGGAGTGGGATTGTACTGCTCCATTGGTCGCCATGTCAATGTAAATGCACCAGATAGAAAAGCGCCTTCGCTGGCACCGTTGGGCCGTTTTCGTTGGTCTCGCAGATGTCGTCCAGCAGACGCTAAGGACGCTTGGGAATACCATGATGCGAAGTGAAGATGGCGTAGGGCTGGGCCTTCTTGGACTGTAGATCTCTTGAGTCCATATTCTAGCTGATTGCCTTGAACACACCTACCTAATGCCAGCACAAGCTCAAGGGAGGGCTTGGCCCTGGACTCCGCTTTGTACATAGTCATCAGTCCACTGAGTGGTTTGCAGGAACGGGAAGGATGATTGTAAAGCTTTGGGTGAGTATCCCATTCTTACCAATCCCTGTTCGGGAGAACAATGTTTGATCCAACCAGCTTCCTTCGTCAAACTCCTGTGAACCACCAGGCGGATCTGGTGATTTTCGCAAAGTTTGCACTGCAAACACAGCTGAAAAGGTGGATGACTCTACACCCACTGTTCCCCACAACTGGCGGCTTGTTGGTTGCCCTGACTTGATATGTAGAGAGGAAGTGATAAGCAGTGAAAAAGCACCAAGAAGATCGATACATATTGATACTTCCTTTTCCTTGCACACCATAACACACCTTCCTGGTGTCCATCCAGGCAAGTGGGTGGACGTGAAGCCAGCGACGCCAGCTTCCACGCTCGAGGAGTGGGATTTGCCAGCCTGGCCCAACTTGGGAGGCCTTTGCGATAGGCAAACCCAACCTGTCGTGATCTCGCCACGTCTGACACATGGGTAGGAGATGGCGGCGTGCTTTCTGGAGACTTCCGCACAGAGTAGCGGAACCGTGGGCGCAACGAGTTCCGGCAGCCGGAACCGCCAAGCCGCGGAGAGGCGGTGGGGGAGTTGGGACGCGGTGGGATGCGTCGGGGTACGTTTTTTGTGAGGTCGGTCAAAAGACAAGCTCGGCTCAATCCATGGATTCCCGGTGTGAAGGTGTGCCAGGCAAAGGCAACATAAAGGAGGCAATGTCGGGGTTTGGTGGGCAGGGCAGAGTTTAGTGAAGGATTTTCTAGAGCTCGGGGCCCCATGGGCCATCCATTATTTTTTGTCCAGAAGAGAGAGGCTGGACATCACCGAGTTTTCGCTGGTCAAGAAGCGGCCAGGGTGCTGGTAGGACTTGAAGGTCTGTGGGCGATTTTGTTTGTTTGTTTGTTTGTTACAGTAAGCAAAAAGGACAAACCAGAAGCGCACTTGAACAACCTGTGAAGACACTGGTCGCATTGAGAATGGCCTGCTGGTCTTTCACACAGAAGGCCTTCTAAATTCCTACCACCAAATGAGCCAATGTTTCTTGGATTGTTTTGGTAGCCTGGTAGTCTGGTAGCCTCCATTTTGATCATATTTCGGTGAGGATCAAGAATTGCTCCCCACTGGGACTGTTGGGAAGACTCACAAAAACTGTTTTTGAGCGTCATCTTCAGGTGGACGGCCTATCATCCTTCTGCTGCCAGTTCCAACCCAAGCTCTTTGCGAACCGGGCCAAGTGTCATCCTGTCATATCCTGGAGCAGTTGTAGAGATATAAAGTAGAGGCTCAAAACATCACGGTCAGTGTAATTATTGTTTTTGCTCTGCTCAGTTACTTCAAGAGTAAGTGAGTCACATCGGCAAACAAGGACACACTCTGTCTGTGTGTCAACTTCTTTTGTGAGTAAGACTTGTCCCTCTTTGCTGGATGAAAGATGTAAACACCCGTGTGTCCTGCCCATTGTCAAGGTGTGGGCCAGAAAGGGCACCACACTCAGGAAGATGAGAAGTGCCACCAGAAAGATAGTGTGTTGCCAGTCCGCCTTGGGTGGGGGTTGAGTCCTTGATTCTACATGCCGATGAACAGGACAGCCAGCATCAGCAACGCCTGGATCCACTCATGTCAATATTCTTTGGATCTGGATGCCTAGGCACCCTGCCGAGGGTCTAGCACAGGCCTGGCGGGAGTGCCCTCGAAGTGCTGTGAGGCAATCATAGTTCGGTCCCTCTACATAATCCCTCGTTTCATCTCGTTTCTCCGTCTTGGGACTCCAAAAGGCTTCATAGGTTTCCATATGGAGTTGCTCATGGATAAGTGCCTTATGAGGTGACCTTTACCATCTCCAAAGACTTCTTCACTGGTTACTACCATCGCCAGACCATCGTTTGATTTGCTGAGCCACTTAGATGGCTTGAGCTGGACAGTCCGTTAATTGCGGACGAAGCGACCTTCTTAATTCACCCAGTTTGCCGGGAGGATCTGGCTGACCCGTGGCCACACGCCATGGACGTGGCAGGTGCATCAGGGCGTTTATTGATTTGCGATCGGGTTGGCCAAACCAAGCAAGGCTTCATGCCGTCTTTGAGAACCCACAAGTCAAACTTTGAGGCTCTCTCCAGTCTTTGAGGGGAGGCCATTGCTTGTAGGTTGGAGGCCATTGCTAGTAAGGTGGAGATCATCGCTATTAGGTTGGAGGCCATCGTCTCCAGTCCTTGAGGGAGGTCGCCCCGTTCTGGTACTTCTTCTTGTGAAGGACATGATGTTATCCACCACGTAGCAATGCAGAATGTACTTAAAAGTGTATCAACTTGGAGCGGGGCCATTACTGTCAACCATGCGTTTCACAACAGTAGTAAGGCCAGGAGCCCCTAGTAGCGTCCTTGCTCCTAGTAGCGATGCCAGGAGCCCCTAGTAGCGTCCTTGCTCCTAGGAGGTCTTTGGAACCACGGGTCATGTTGGTGGAAATCCTTTCCAGACGGAGGCCCTGCCCCCTTTGCTGGCGACCTGCAATGGGTAATGCTGGGCCTCCTCAGTTGATCGTGGATTTGTCATCGTGCAGGACATGTTTATTTGCTTTGACCGTTTGTCGCTTCATAAAGCCTCATGTTTACCTGCATTGCACTTCTGTTCTTGGGGAACGGGTGCAGCTAGCCATCAGATGCTCTCAATTTCAGTGGACCTTGAAAGTCCAGTTTCTATCAGAAGCTCTGGTCAGCACAGGACTCTGGCTCAAAGACTTAGTCACTTAGTCATGGTCACGGGAGCTGGGATAAATGAACTGGACACAGCGATGTGCACCATTTGTTTCTGCCATAGTTGCTGTTTGACAGAAATGTCGCGGACATCCCGGGGTGAGAAAAGACTTTCAAAGATTGTTGAACCTACCATAGGCCATTGAGGACAATAATCATCCAAGGATTCCCATCTCCTGAACAAAAAGATTCCCCCCAAAATAGATAGAACCGTACATCATTGGAATCCATTTCTATTTAGTTGAGAGCCTCTATACACGGACCCAAGCCCAAACCCTCTGCATCCCAAAGCCGAATCACCCGACTGTCAAGGCCGCAGCTTCCGACGATTTTGGCCGGGACCACACAGTGGAGGGTCTTTCTGCGGCTCGAGTGGCCAGTTCGAGTGCCATAGTCTTTGACAAAACTTTCTCCATCCCAATCCACTTCAAGTCCACAGAAAAGCCGAAAAGCCAAGCCACGCTTCCAATGGTCGAGTCTTGTAATCACATTGAGCCCTCTTGTGCTGTGCCGATTCACACTGAGGCTGGGGTGCCAAGTCCGGAGCTTGGCGCAGAACCAGATTTTACGACCCGGAACAGCTGCGAGCAGTGAAGAAGTTCACGGCACTTTTCATGGAAAAAGCCCCCCAGCATATTGGATACAGCATATTGAATGGATTCTGACCTCCTTGACCTCCTTTCCTTGTCTCCTTTTTGCAGACTGAACTTGGGGAGATTAGTTGTGATCAGTGACGTCGAAGATAGCGCGGGCGGCCAGGTGCGAGCATCATGGATCTATATGAGCCACGGTCAAGACATGCGAAGACCACTTTAGTAAAGAGGGGTAGGTTTGTGCACAAAACCCTGCAAAACGATAAGGTCCACCTCAAAACCGATAACCCCAGCGCTGTATATGGTCATAAGTATGCGACTAAAACGATAAGGTCCACCTCAAAACCGATGACGTCCATTTTTTAGCTGAAGAAGAATAAGGAGTTTTGACCGTCCCTCATATAGATGAACCTAAGATGATGAACAGTCCCAGCTTAAGAGGGTCTCCTGTGTTCGAAGTTTCTGGTGAATGAATTTGCTGAATGATGGATGGATGTGCCTTTGACTCTTTGACTCAAAGTACACGAGTTCCAGAGCGGCCTCTGGTCCCGGCAGACAGACGCACCGTGGGACATGCTGGACACTGTAAGAGTTGTGCGCAATGTTTTAAAATCGAAGCCAGGTGCCCCTCCATCGAATCTTGCTCGACATGTGAAGGTGTTTTGTACTGTAGCTTGTGACTGTTGCCGCTTGCGACTTTTGGGCGGAAGGGTGTTGAACTACCTTCATACAGCTGGATAAACTGTCTCACCTGCACACATGTCCGATCATTGCAACTTAGTGGTGCCCCATGTTCTAGGTTCTGGTCTGTCATGCGAAGCCTGAAAGTAAGGCTTTCAAAAGGAATACATCTCAAAACACAAGAGAAGACAGAAAGGAAGGTGCTTGAGCCCCGCTGGGAAGGCACCTGAGTTTTGCAATTGTGTTATATAATTTGCGAATCCCTGTTGTTTTCCCAGAGCCTCAAACCTTTCTACTTGCCCAGGACCCTCAGTGCTGGGGAAAGGTATGCCTGTGGGGTTGCTCGGATCGTGCGACAATCTGGCTCACAGACCAGGATGGGGACGCCAACAAGATTGGGACCTTGCAAGTGAATGAATCCTTTTCCCATCAGCAAAGTTAGTTCAAACTTCCTCTACTTACTCTTGTCGACGTCCCACAAGTGCCGATCCCACGAGTGCCCAACTGGGAGGTTTTCACACCTGCTGAGGCGAGAGCCCCCCAACTGGCCACTCCAAGGTGGGAGTTTCGTGCATCTCGTGGACTCGGCTTTTCGGTCTGAACCACGGTGAAGGACGTTTTTTAAAGGCCGCTCTGCCGCCCAACCTACTCCAACCTAGTGGCGATGGCCTCGGGTTCCTCGGTTTTCCTTAGAAGTTCTTTCACCAGAAGGCACAACATATCCCCGGGTAGCTCAAGGTTAGCTGAGTCCATTGGGGTGCTCCCCGATCAATTAGGACAGCGGAATGTACAAGCTGTATCAAGCTGTGATGTAGGAGGTGGGTGGAGGCACTTGCAGCAGTTGCATCAAGACAAGAAGATATGGAGTGATCCACCTGCGGCACCGGGCAAGCTGCGGGAACAGATCTATGAGAATCCACAGGTAGAGGTGCCACGCTAGTAGAAACAAGTGCCACGCTAGTAGTAACAAGTGCCTTACTAGTAGTAACAAGGACGCTAGTAGAAACAAGGTCCACCTAGATATTCCGTCGCACAGGCCACCTCTCATCGCCTATGAAGGTCACATGCCGCGGCGTGGAGGTGGGTGGAGCTGAAAAGCCGTGTGGAACAGTTGGCGTCGCTCCGTTCGTAGCGATGCCAGGAGCCCCTAGTAGCTTCTTGCTCCTAGTAGTAAGGCCAGGAGCCCCTCTTAGCGTCCTTGAATAGTGAGGGCCAGGTAGGAGTGGAGCTGGCATGAGATATTGGACACAAAAATCACCAGACTGAAACCCTACAACCACCTCCTTGTCGGGTGCTTCAACACCTTTAGCCTACCGTAGGGCAACCTAGATTTGAAACTACATTCAGCCCTGCACTTTCCGCCCCCACTCTCGTGTTAGGACGACCCAAAGCATGAGTTTTGTCCAACTCCTGTGGACACTCGAAGAGGATTTTGCTGTTTGGTCTCAGGAGGTTTGCTCAGCCGGACTTCGAGGGCAGGCGGGTTCTCGGAAGCCGGGTTGAGCTCTGCAGGTCAGAAGATCACCTTGTGTACCTGCCAAACACACATTTTCAGCAGATCATCCCACATCCCAGACCCAGAAAGGGCCTGAACGTAGGTAACCTTGGATCCCTTCCAAGGCTGCAGTCTGCCAAAGGGACCCTAGAAGAGGTCATTCCTGCGAACGTATTGTAGTTGATACTTGACTTGGCCACTGCAAGTTCAGAAGAAAGCTCAGAAGAATCTTCATTCCATGTCTCCAGTACCTTCGCAAGCACTTCAAGAGGGTTTTGATGATTCGCTGAAAGCGGACTGGTTGCGCTCCAGTTGCTAGGTTTGATGGCTCTCCCTGCCCATAGTGGATGTCTAGGCCCTGAGGAAGGGGATAGGGTTGATGGAAGGTTGCAGATGGCAGCCAATGATGTTGCCCTACAGTACCAATTCGAGAGAGATCATCTCCGCACTCTCACCACCCTTTGTGAAGCCAATGATAGCCAATGTACGTATCATACGAGGTATATATCATACGAGGATATACGAGGTATATGTTACATATGTAAGCTGTAAGCATGACACAGATTCTATAAAGCAGCAACTCTTGCACCTCTTGTACATTAGCTGATTTTTCTTCATGCCTGCAAGCGCTGAGGCTATCCACTCTTGCCAATGCTCATTTAGCTGCACAGGCGTAGACCAAGTCAGGACCTCAGACACGGAGGTAGGGGCAACCCATCATCTGCAGACTTCTGGGTGAATCTCAGATTTGCAACATTGTTTTGTTGGAATCCCATGCCTGGGTTGTGGCACCTAGTCCCTTTGCCACTCAAAGCACTTTGACCAATCTGCATCTTTGGAAGATCACTCAGCAAGGTCGTGGCCTTGCTCAAAATCTCATGAACATTTTTGTATGCCGCAAAAGGCTCTCGGCATGGGAGAGCACACTCTCCAAGTTCACTGTGGTCCACTCTTGCCAGGAGAGTGAATGGGAATGGCTAGCCAGAGTTAATTGTCCAATAGTAATTTGTAAGTTGCCTGACACTGCCACGGAGTGAGCATTCCCCCATGCTTTTGCCTCATTGTGCAGTGCATCTTGAGTAGCAGCTCTGTAAGAAAGTGGCGACCAAGCCCCATCTCTTGTGGAGTCGTACTGAGTTTGGTGGTCCTGGTTCCCGTCTCAAACCGTGGCTCAACCACAAGTCATGCCGATCCCAGGCCGCTGGCCTTTCCGGCCCTGGATATCTCCACGATTCTGTGCGCCGTACAGGGGTTGGAAACAGGGGTTGGAGGACCTGGGATGAATATGTAGAAGACCAACTGGGAGCTCTGACCTGGGAAGTTCATTGCAGATACCAGTAGTAATCCGATTATATAGTTCAATGCAACGAGCAACTCTAGTCAGTTCATAGATCCTGGAATGCTCTCTGAGACAAGTGGGAACCGTAGTGATTAGATTTGAACCAAAACACTAATCACTGCTGTCTCATGCCTAGATCTGAAAGATTGGTTTGATGGCCGGATTTTCAAATGGAGCAACCTTTGGCCATGAATTCCCAGAGCGAGATTTTCCCTTTCCTCCGTGGCCATGCGGAGGGTTGGTCTCGAATCCAGAGCTCCATGGCCGGGGACAGGCGCGCCATGTGCCACGTGGAAGAGTGGTGGATGCATTACCTCCCCAAATGATCAGTTTTTGGAGGACGGAGTACTCACAGGCTAAGGCGGCCAAGAGATTGATAAATCAATTTTTCTGAGGGACCGTGTAACAAGCGGCATCGTCAGCATAACTAATCATAGTTAGGAGCACACAGGCTAGGTGCGTCCCCCACGCACTCGTACTTCTAGACATGTTAGTGGCATGAGTCCCTTTGCGAATGTAATGGACCACATTTGGAGCAGTTGCAAGGACACTTGGTAGGAACACTCGTGGCATCCTTGCAGGCGATAAGAAAAGAGCGGCTGGTGAACACATCGCACGGTGCATCTGAGTAATTCGATTTAATTAAGGTAGGAACTGTCTTGCTGAGACCAGAAGAAGGGTTTCATTGAGTTCCCATTTGTTAGTTCCATGGATTGGATTTTGATCCCCTGAACGTTCAGGACACACAGGTGCTGTGCGATTTTAATCATTTGAGATTTCAATGTAGGGATTGTGGATGATTGTGGATGACATCTTGGTTTTCCCATGCTCTTTAGTTCAGCGCTTTCTTCAGCAGGGCAGTAGCACTAGTGGCTTTTGCAGGTCTTAGTGTGAACATAGCAATTGCACTTCTAGCCAAGTGTGAGTTCTGAGTGATTGCAGTCATGCGGCATGCATCCTCTTATAGATTTGATCCCGCTTCGCAGCAGACAGCCGTTCTGGAAGGACTGATAGAAAGGACCTGGTGTACATCCCTCGGGTGGCTTAGAAGGATAATTCTCACTTGGAAGCAAGTTCGTAGTTGGTTCTCATGGACTATGTGTGGATTTATTGTTACAGTTTTTTTGGTTGAACTTGGTATTGTATCCTGCTGATAGTTAGCTGCTAACAGTTAGCCACAGTTCGTCGTTGGGAAGATCACTCTGAAGGACATTTTGCCGCCCAGTAGTTTTAAACATTTTTTTTTGATTTCTGTCGAGTCGCAGTTGCTTTCTACTGGCTGCATAGCCTTTTCCTGCTTGAACGACTCTTCAACACCATGATGCATCTCCAAAGCGCAGGTCTGTACTTTTGATTGGACTGTCATGCTTGAAGGGGGTTTGGCTGCGATGGGGCCTGTGTGGAAGGCTTTTGACAGCAGCACATCCCAGATGGCCGAGATGACCCAGTCCTTGCACCACCAAACCACCTAGGGCAAGCCATCTAGGATGTATCTCTTAATTCGTCGGAGGATATGCTAATGATGGCCCATGTGAAAAAGAGTGCGGAGTGAGGGAACAGAAAGCGGAGAAAGCACTGCCACCTGGTGCCACTCGCAGTGTCACTGGTCTCCTTCACTCCATTGCCGCCATTGGAACTGTCTTGCGGACACCATTCGAACTGCTCGAGCCAAATTCTTCAGCTGTCAAGCCCTAACTCAAGAGCCACGCTGTTTCTGAGGGTTGTTCACTTGGTCAACGCCATCTATCCCGGCATCCATGACAATGCCATGACGGGTCGATCTCAGGTAACTGCAAAACAGTACTCGTAGCTGCCAGCTACTGAGCCAGCATGAGCCACTGATGAGTGCAAACCATTCCTTCTGTAAGTGTACTACGCAGATGCCTTAGCAATACTTGGCAAAGATCTGAGTCACCTGAGCAGATCTCGAAGTCACCTGAGTCCTTTACATTCCTTTGGAACATATTGGAACTCCGCCGGTGTCGGCCCTGTTTGTCTCGCGCCTCGGCACGCCATGATCGCCTAATGGCGAACCCATTCGCTGAGGACGAGCGGTTTTGGTGTCGACGTTTTCGTGCGGGGCCATGCAAGCCGTAATCCGTGTTCTAGGCATGTGGTGAAAAGTGGAACAGCATTGAAAGGCTATTTGCCATTTGGTTATGATTCCGATTTGTTTGCAATGATGAATATCCTGCAATCCCAAGCGCAATCGTCGGGGATGAGTTCAAATGACTCAAACGGATCAGTTCGCAGGGTCAGATGACAGACTTTTTTTTTCAAGAATGTCCACAAGGATGTTAAGTTTGTGAGAGATTCAACTGTTATTCCTAGCGGTCGAACAGGAAGGTAACGATTGCAGAGCCTTGCGGAACGACATGTCAGACTACGTATGTCCGACAGAGATGCTGGTGCTGGACCAAACCAGTAAGCGTCACGGTGTTTGGCTGATAGATGGTTTTATTTGGATTGCTCTAATTTCTTTCCACAAGCTTTGGAATGCCTGCTTGTTTGCAAGAAGCACAGAGGCTGAGTTGAGGGAAGGAGGACTTTGTTTGGAATGAAGAGCCGCAAGTGTTTTTTGCTGTTGCTTCTTTTGCCGGTGAGGAGGCTTGTGGTTTGTGGTGAATTGTAGTGATGTCTGTAGGCGATGTGCGGTGATGAGGTGGTGGTTTGATTAATCCATTTGTTGGGCTGTGCTGGTTTGAGCGTGGTGACACTCAATGATTTTTAATGATTTTGACCATGCGGGTGATTTGCTTTGGCTTTGATTTGACGTCATTTTTTCGTGGTGATTTGTAGACCCTGCCAGATGCGAAAAGGCAACTTCAAAGTGAACATTTCGATACGTTTCGATATTCGAGTTGTGATCCACTCAGTCTGCAAACTACCTGTTTTCTTTTTTCTTCCCATCTTATTTTCTTGATTTCCTTGGCTTCTTGGTGTTTCCATCCTCTCATCCAGGAGGAAGCGTCAGTTGCTGATGCTGCGCCTTCCAACCCCTTTGCACAAGAGGAGGATCCAGGGCAGAAGAAACAAGTGAGCTGGTGCGAACCGGGTTCAAAGACAACTTTCCTCCAGATTTTGGGAGATTGTTTATATATTTCCCTTTTGTGAGGGCATTTGCAGATTTTGCAACCCGCTGCCCCTCACAACACCGCCAACTGGGCTTCCATTTGTCGACTGATAGGCCCAGGAATATAGGTAGAAAGAACTCAACTACTGGAACCTGAACCATCAGGGGTGCAGTTCTCGATGATGCAGAACCAGAGTAAGTGAAACGCCCGTGGTTTGCCAAAAGACATATATCCAAAAGAAGACTAGCTTGGCCTCGGAAAGTGTTGGCGGCCATGCCTTTCTTGCGCAGAAAGTTGGCTTTTGACCATGCCACATTTGTTATTATGTCACTTTCCAAATGACTTCGTAGCAGGAGCCCGCACCAGAGTCTGGTGCAAATCCCTTCGAGGATCAGGACGAGCCCGAAGCTGCTGCGGATTCAGAAGCCGTGGATCCAGAAGCTGCTGGAAAGGTAGAGGAGGCTCGCGCATGAGATGTAGAGGAGAATCACGTACTTTCAACATTTTGTCCTTTTGCACATCGTCGTTGTACCAATTTCTTGAGCAGTTATATATTGTGTGGAGACCTACACGCACAATTATCATCAATTATCCCAGCAGCGCTGAACAGACGTGGGAGGCTCTTCGACACAAAAGATGTGACCTTACAGGATAAATCCATTTGCAAGTGAACTCAGGTATTCATCATAGTCACACAGTTTGCAGTGTTTTGAATTCTGCTGTTCCAATTCTGGATTCCTTTTTGGTGGCAAATTCAGAGAACCCAAATGAAATCTTGGATGTTAGATGAACCAGGCCCCAGGTGACAGGCTATTGATGCGAAGAACTATTCTTTGGCCCTTCACGCAGGGAGCTGCCCACTCTGAAGACGATAACCCCGCAAACCCTCCATCAATGAGCGCATGACGTAGTCAGGAACTCGGTCAGGAAAACCAATCAAATCAAACAATTCAATCAACCAGCAATACCTACATCAAGCAAAGCCAAGTCAGACGAGCAAGACCGCCAATCTGTACAAGACCTCTCCTCCAGCGTCCATAAAGATGATCAGTCAATTAACCACTCAACCAAGAGGGTTTCACACTATCTAGAGGGTCTTCTAACCACGACTGCCAAATATTGATAACGATAAGGATGATTTGACTTTGACTAGAAACAAGTGCCTTACTAGTAATAACAAGAAGCTATTAGAGTGGCATCACGACAAGCGTGTAGATGCACATCCTACTGTTTGGGTTGCTATGAGAGGAGGCTACAGCAATTGTCAAGACGGTGAGCGGATATTCGGTGGAGACACAGCAGGCCAGGCGGCTTAGTTAAGTCAAAGTGATTTTGTATATTTTTGGTGCTTTCATTGTGACAAAATACTGTACCGATAATACTTCCATCGCAGTCGCCATTGCATCACTGGTATCACAATCCACAGTATATCAGTACAGTATATCTACTGTATATAAGTATACTCTTCCGGGTTGATATCGGACAGTTCATCTAAGAATCTAATATCCTACACACCTTACAGATGAAATCTTTTTTTAGCAGAGAAGAACCTCATCCACCCTGCCTTGGGAGGCAATCTTAGTGAGTCAATAGAGAGTACATTGACCTCTGAAGGGGGGGCATCCAGCAGGACCGCCGCTTCCAAAACGCGGACGTTTGCGCGGTGTGCAGCGCAGCACTGGGAAAGCGCTGGATGCGGCCCAGACATCACTGCCGCGTGTGGGGTGGCCGACTACTGTACCAATTGAAACGAACTCTTCATGGTGGTGATCTCCTAGTCGACCCCCAAACTGCAGGGAACGGCTTGGAAGGGTCTGCTGCTTTTACCGTGTTATCATTCAGCGTCGGATGTGGTTTTAGCATGTTTTAGCTGTTCAAATGTTTGTTTGCTTTTTGTGACCCAAGATGGGAGCGATTGGGGTCCGACTTGGTGGGCAGATCGCGAAAAGCAGTTGATTGTGAGGTAGAATATATCACTATTGACCCAACTGATGTATGCTGCCTCGATTTTCTTTGATTTATTGTGTACTTTCCCAAGTGAAGGGAAGTGAGCAATTCCTGCAGTGCTTCTAGTCATGAAGTCTCTCACCTGACAGGTGCAGCCAAAGTGTTTGCGCCTCATGCTCACCCAGCACCATACAGTTGATGAGTGCCTTGTAGTGAAAGTTGGTGGGGAGTTTCCGAAATGCTACAGCAGGGGCATGACTTGGCCATGCCAAGCGTTTGACCGCAAGCATTTTTGAGAGTCTTCGGGTCGTGGATCCATTCCGGTGGAATCGATTTGATCACAAAGTAAGAGCATGAACACGCTTCGAACACAGGCAGTGTGGCACATTTTAGAACCCAACCATGTGGCAATGTGGCATTTGGGGTACACCACGTGATCCGAGGCGAAGGTCTTCAGAGGACTTGCAAAACATGCATCGAGCAGATGCTGGAGATGACAGAGCTGAAGGTGCGGAAACCTGCAGATAGGTGGCACAGCTCCTCCGCATAGGTGGCACAAAAGATGCGAGATTGGCCAAGATTCGATGCACCTTGGCACTTCCTCCAAGCTCCTCTGAATTTGCTGACGTGTTGCACCCAATAAACTGGCAGGTTTGTTTGTCTTCCATAAAGAAGGCTTCCAACTGGATCTTTCAGTGTATGCAATATCATGGTATATCAAACCTTCTGTCCAGCTGATATACGGACATTGGGTTTCCACGACACTCATGCCCTTCTACCACTCGTTATGTTGGCATCCAATACTACTGTATCCCATCATTCTCCGTTTCATAAATATTGTGTTGTTTTCATGCGATCTTCAGCAGGAAGATCTTAACATATTTTCTGATATTCATATCTACCTAATATAGAGCTAGCAACTCTCCTTTTTGCCCTATCAGTGTGCACTGTTTGAGTGGAAAACTATCCCCCCGAAAGCATGCACTGCAAACACACTTCAGCAGAGCTGCTCGCGTGCACCGCCAGGCACAGTTGGCGAGACTGGCCGAGGATCTCAGCAGCATGACCCGTGGTGAAAACCCAGGTGCTTGGTTAGACATGTGGCGTCCGACGGTGTGGGGGCGCTGGTGCAAGGCGGCCACACCCTTTCGATAGGAACACGGACTTTGCTGCTTCTGGGAAGCACTCACTTTCGGCAACTGCAACTGAGGATGGTAGCCTGATACTATGCCACTTTGCTAACTACTTCACCTGCATACTGCCCAAGACCATCCCATTTTGGGGGCCAATCTCATCCGAAAAGCGCAAGCGATGCCACTTCAGAGCGACCGAGCGACCAGCGCTCCTTGTTGAAGGTGAACTGACCCTGTGAGCTTCATACCGGTGCAAGAGCAACAGCTGCATGCTGCAAGTGTCACCCTTTGATACCGGTTCTTGGTTTGTCGCAAGCGTCCGCTGAGCTTTCCCGCTCTCGTTTGGTCAAAGGACAGTTGTTCCAGGACTCCCTTCAGCCCAACCATCTCCCAGGCGACGAGGGAGGCCGCGCTTTGATGGCTACTTGTGAGGAGGCGGTGTCACAGCTGCTGGATCTGCAAGCCGGGCATCAAGCAGCCTCTACCCAGGTGGGAACTTATGAAGTGCAGTCCATATTGAGAGGTGTTGCTAGGTGTCTCGATTTCTTATTGCGAGCTTCTAGCCTATCAGACAGTGTGAGAATGCATCATACTATATACAGTGGTTTCAGAGCAGATGGCACAACCCCCAAGATGTCTTTTATATAGGTGTCCATCTAAACCACCTTTTGGGGATTGTGCCATCTACTCTGAAACTACAGAGATACCATGGGTGTTTATTATTGTTTATTGTGTTGACCTGTTCTGAAAACGGGTCATCGACCTCTGAATATCCACGGTTCATGCTCCAGGTGGAGGTCTTGAAGCAGCAACTCCAAGAGGTGCGAGAGGCTCAAAGCAGCGCTCTTCAGGCGACCGCCGGCGACCGCCGCGTCCGGTGGGTCGTCGGGCCGCCACGGTGCTCGCCTGAGACTAGGGCACCGGTCAGCAGTGGCCACCGGTCAGCAAGATGTGCCTCAGGAGACTGAGTTCGGCCACCCTGTCGAACTCTTTACGGGTGAACGCATCCAACGCACGTCTGCCAGGTAAAAATTACGACCGGTATCCGTACCCTAGGTCAACCTCAAATTTCTGATGATCAGTGATGGGTGTCACGGTGTGGTGCTGAAGAGGAGAGCCAGATCCGTCGCTGAGTCGGCGGCAGCCTTCCAGGCCGCCGAGGCCCGGTGCACCGAGGAGGCCGCACAGCGCCTGGCAGCCGAGGCGGCGGCGGAGGCAGCGGCGGCCGAGCGGCATGAGATGGAGGTGGAATGGGTCCGGATGTGGAAATTAGTGGATGGGATAGAGGATTGAGGTAAGTGGTAGGTAATGAGTGGCAGTGGGTGGTAGGTGGTGGGGGCTGTCATTTGATTCGCTTCTTTGGTCTCATATGGTCAGTCACTGGTCAGGGGGGGGTGAGCTGGGAATTCCTCACATCAAGGCGAAGCTGCACGAGGAAGAGAAGAAGCGGAAGGCTGCAGAGGCCGAGGCACAGTCCTTCTCGGTGGACCTTCAAGAATTGGAGGCGGGTGACTTTGGTGGATGTGCCTAAGGATGTGCCATAGGATATCCCCTGGCTCTTATGAGGAATAACTCACTCAGCTTTGAGATATGTCTTTTCATAGAAGGACCTGCTGAGTTTGTGGATGGTTTCGCACTGTCTGAAAGCTGCAATGAGATTACAAGGCAAGGTCTTAGAACCGGTTGAAGTCTGTGTGTCACCAAAGACCAGAATGGGGAGGTGAAGTACAGTACATTTTTCTTATGTTTCTTGTTTGCATCAAAGATCCTTGCAGGTCGTATCCATCGTCGCCGTCCTAATCCTGGCAAGTAGGTAGGACCACTGACAGCTTCTTGGTGTGAACTACACATCATCAAGCCCCAAAACACTTCGCAGACATCAGACATCCCATCCCTCAAATAAAGATCCTATTAAACGGGTACAAGAGTTACAAGAGCCATTGACTTGAAGCAGGCAGCCTCAAATCAAGGCTGGTGGCATTTCCAACATGTACAACATGTACGCCAGCCTTAAAACAAACCCACAGACAAGGACGCTACTAGTAGCTCCTGGCCTTACTACTAGCAACAAGAAGCTACTAGTAACAAAGGGCATCACTACTAGGAGCAAGGACAATACTAGGGGCGCTCCTTGCTCCCTAAAACCACATGAAGCCTCCGAAACCCAGCTTCGTCCGACCGGTCACCGGGCACTCATTCCAGCCGGTTACCCAGGCGGAGACCCTGCGGCTCCGGGAGCTCCAGGAGAAAGCGGCCTCGGAGCGGATGGCCTTGGAGGTGAGGATGTGGAAACGTCTCAGATGTGGCGAGCAGGTGTGTTCTTTGTGTCCTTTCCTCTCTGTCTAGTGACTAGTTAGTGAGTTTAGTGTTTGGCCCTTCAGAAGGGTTGATTTAGACGATATCTATCTCTATCTCTATCTCTATCTCTATCTCTATCTCTACCTCTACCTCTACCTCTACCGCTACCTCTACCTCTACCTCTACCTCTACCTCTACCTCTATCTATCTATCTATCCAAATAGACTATTAGAGACTTGTTTGCTTTGTTGGGAGATGCTGGGTGGGGGGTCTTCCCAGGTGCATTGGAAGTATGAGTCTGCAGTGCGGACTATCTTAGGGGCATGGAATCATGATCATGGGAGTGTTTGGTGGCTTAAGGATTGCAATCCTGACTCCTGGCACAACTGGCACATGCCACCCTTCCAAGTTGCACAGGTGCGACTCTCTGAGAGCCTGCCCCGGCATTTGGCTGGAACATCGACGCCCTCCTCACACTCTGCTTGAAGCCTAAGTACAGTCTGCCCTGACAACTCTTTGTGGGCAGCCGGGCCTGATAGTGTTTTCTCCATTGCAGGGTGGGCCAATGCTGCATATTGTTTCATCTCTTGACCCCCCCCTTGCGGAGAATCCTCACCAAGGTGGCAGAACATCTCGTACAGACTGATCCTCCACAGCCTGACCGAAGATGTTCAGAGAACTGCAAGAACTCTTGCTCCATTGCTTGAGCACTCATCAAAAAGATCCAACCACTGGCCATCTGAAAGTGACCGTTGTGATTCAGTTGTGATGCACAACATGCGAGTTTGATTCCAAGCAAAACGAGGACGCGGAACATGTGAGGACATGATGTCGGGCTGCAGCAAGAGTTTTATGTTAAACTGCAACCTTGGTTTGAAGTTCAGGTGGTTTAGGATGAGTTTGTGGTCATGTGAGCAGACTTGCGCTGTTCCTACCCTAGTTCTCTTGGAAATTGGGCTAGGCAGGATTCTGCGCCCTTTTGAAGAACAGTTGGCGTTGGCGCTATACAAACCATTCTACTTTTGCCAAGTGGAGAGTTTGACCTTTGCAATCATTTTCGATGTTAGATCTTCTTTGTACCCAGCAGCACTTATACCGCACCGACATGCAAGGTATACGAGTCAATCAGTAATTGAAGAGATTTGCGACCATGCTAGCTTTGTTGCATGTTACGTTTAGAGCTTCGGGCTTCACTCTGGGGCTTTAGGTGGGTGCGGTTTTGCTTGTTTTTGCACTCCACTGTCCAGCGCAGTGTTCTGAGCCGAAGCATGAGTCAAGTAAGCCAAGTAAGGTACACAGTCAACAGGAAAAGCTGAAGTTTAGCAGAAGCAAAACACAGACAGATTGCACAACAAATCACAACTCAAAGCTGATTTAATTGGCAAGAAACTTCAAAGCGTCAGAACTTACTGGCATTTTTAAGTCGCAGTCACCCCGGGGGGCACCATGAATGGGCTCGGGGGCACAGGTGCCCAGCAGTCGAAGGCCTTGTTTCAGTGCATCAGCTGTGAGTCTAAGCCCTTTGAGACACTTGTGATTCGTTCGCATCAGTGGCACAACATGACATACTAGGACATACCAGCATATCCCACGATGTTGAAGCACCTTTGAACTGCAAAAGCACCAGAGGAAGGCAAAAGGTTTGATTTGGAGCACACAATGCTCTTCGTGGGCACTGTCAAGTCATCTCCCCTATCGACAGATTTTTGGTGCAAAGCAAACGTGCAGGACTGTTCCTTCGCTGCTGGATCTGTGGCTGGCGCACCATTGCGCGTGAGTTGGTGCCAGCCCCAGGTGGCACCAGGACACTTCATGTGCCATCGGTGCCATCGGGTCAAGGCAGAGCTGCAAACAGCTTTTACTGTGCTGACTGTGCTGGCAGGTTTCTGGTGATCCTTTTTCTCTCCCAACTTGTGGACGCTATCAACGAGCATCAGCTGCCGTTGTGGGTCGGGGTCTAAGGCGTTGCTCAGCGCAAGTCAGGCGGAGCGGAAAAGGTGCATCATCCTCACGGAAAAGGGGCTTTTGCCCTTTGGGATCGTGCTGCTCTTGAGGCTAACGGTTAAAATCGTTCCTGGTCGAAGTACAAGAGTCAAGCTTTTTGATGGCCCTTGCCAGGTCCGCATCACCCAAGTCACGGTCAATGAGCTCCTCCTCCTTTTCACAGTGCTGTGCCATGAGATGGGCCAGATACTTGAGATGACTATGCTTGGATGGGCATCATCAGGGTTCAGAGAAAAGACCCAGATTGCTGGGGTTCTGAGGACAACACCTCCCAAACAGTTGGGACTGCATGGGATTGCATCAAGTTCTCTTAGGTCATCACTGTGATCCAGAGCTCACGACCTTGTCGTCCATCAAGTCTGAGCTACACCATGTCTAGATCATTGTCACCAGAAGGTTACCGCCATCATACATACAACACTCACCATGCATCAGTGCAGTTTGCTCAACCACCTTGGGCCATTTTGGATTGTCCTACCCAGGCCATGGAACCATGGCGCGCCGGTGTGGCGGCACCATTGCGGAGGTGGAATTTAGTACGTCCCTGTTCTTAGTAGTAAGGCCACCCTTAGTACCGTCCTTGCTCCTAGTAGCGATGCCCCCCTTTGCTCCTAGTAGCGTCCTTGCTCCTGGGGGTTGCTACATGTTGCTATTGTTTTTCTGCTTTGGGCCCTCTGGGCTACAAACTGTCTTGAAATGAGGGTCCCACTCGTCTCGTGGAGTTTTAGCCAGTTCCCTTTCACTATGTTTCTGATCAATATTTTCCAGGCAACCCTGATTTCAAGACACACATGTGCACACATCCCGATGCTATTAGCTACAATGTCTTTTGGTAGCTTTCATGGTTGGAGTTGCAATTGCTTTTGAAGGAGTTTGACTCGACGCTATTGTCAGTCGAACTCAACGGCTTGGTGTCGTCTCACCTCCTTGTTGATCGTGCCACAGAAGTTCACGTGTGTGGGAAGAGACCTAGTCTCGAATAGTCTCCATGTCCATTCATTCCTGGTGGCTCCTCGAGGTGTTGCTGTGGCCCTTCGGTGGCATTTGCTTTACAACCCGTGGCCCAACACAAGATCCAAAACAAAGCCTCACCAATGAGCTGTACATCGTGGCCGCAGCCGGACTGCCCAGTGCCAGAGAACACGCTTCTGACGGGCGCTTCTGACTTTGGTCAGATGGGTTGAGTTAAGTATCTTTCGTGTCTGAGATTGTTAAACATATACCAAATACTACTAAACATATATATAGTGAAACTCTGGGAACAAGATACTGACGGTTGGGACAAGGTTCACCCAAGGCCCAAGGCTATTCGAGGAATCAAACATGTTTCGAGACGCTCGGTGATATTGGAATGGCGGGGATCACGGGGTTGCTACATCGACTCTTACTATTCTGACTTTGACTTGACACCTGCATTCAGCAACTGCATCTATGAGCGTGGCCTCCCGTTCAACACTGACCCCAATCCCCAGCTGCGGATGTCCATTGGTGCTCCGAACTGGTTCTTGTAGTAAACGTCCTCACTCCTCGCACGTTGAACAGCCGAGCAGCTCTTCCTTCTTGAGGGCCCTGCCACTCACTTCCCGATGTCATTCGCCTGGGTCGTCCTCCTGGCCTGGGTCGCCCAGTATCAAGCAGCCAGACTCAAAACTCAACAGAGTGCCTCGCTTTGTGATACACACACACACACGGTATTTTTGCTACAGCCTTTGGGATGTTACCTTGAAGTGCAAGTTTTTTGTTTACCTTGACCTTTGCTTGAACGTTAATATACTTCAGAGATTTTGTTTGTGCTGGAGATTTGTAGAACTTTAGTTTATTTGCCTCTTGAGCTATTCAGATGATTTCACTTTTTACACTGTGGCTTTTCGTCAAAACAGTCGCTCAGCGTGCCCTCATTGGCCTTTGAGGGAGCTTATGGAGCCGCAGTTAGTCATGTCGTGAGACCTTCCTCCTACCTGTACCTAGGCGGGGCACTGGGGCATTCCGCACACAGTTGGATCCATGTGAGATGCTTCACACACACACACACATGGACCATGGAACAGACATGGTCGAGATCTGGAATCGTTTGGCATCGACAATGTTTCTGTGTCAGTTCTCGATGGTGCAAAGAGTAGGTGTTAACTATGCAGATTTCCCTTTGCAATACTTTACAATCTGTTAGAAGCACCTGGTACGGGTGGGCCACTTGCGTGCTCAGAGTAGGTCTACAAATGAGACCTCGTCTTGGACGAGTGTGCGAGCTCGTCAAGTCGGACTTGTTTGTTTATGTTAGGATTCCAAAAAACTATCACAATCACATTAATTGAGTTTTCTTTCTTGTTTTGGACCTTTCTTTTTTGCTTCCTTTCTCTCAAGTAAGAGTTAAGAATTTGAGCTTGGCCTGCTGTTCCATGTTGTTCCCGTGTTTGAAGGGCTTTGAACAAAATCAGCTCGCAAAGGCATCTTGATGTTTTCTCCCCAACATCATGGCTCCTCAGCACGTCCTGTCCCAGTCCCATTTGGCTCCCCACCGCCGCCATGCTTCAACCCTGGCTGGGAGGGGTCCGGTGACCCAAGAGCCGGCAGAGGGGCGTTGCTGAATTCTGGTGATATGGATATATGATGATATGTAATATGATGATATATGCAAAAATACCAATAGTGTCGATTTCTGGGTGTTTCTGCCGACTTGAAGTGAACTTGCTAAATCGGTGAGAAGTCTGGAAAGGACGAATTCTGGCAAACCGTGTTCACACCGTACAGGGGATTTCAGGGCTTCATCGGAAAGTGTCCTCAAATCTAAAATGCGACAAATTGTTGAGATGGTTTAGGCGGCAATTGACACTTAAGTGGGTACATAGATATGGACGGAGGAACATCCGCAGCAGTGCTGGTCAAGCTCGAGAAGCCGGCACACATATCCTGAACAAGGTTCTGTAGTGTCAGTGAGACAGAGGAACAGACGCCGTACCCGACCCTGCGGCCGAATTGATGCTGGGAGAAGAAGAGCTGATTTGCACTGGCTGTGGAGCCTTGGCGATTGAAGATTGTGAATGCCTGAAAGTGACAGATGTGTGCTGGGTAGAGACCCATTCCATCCCATTCCCATCATGCCAATGCACTGCTCGGACTTGCTGTAACCACTTTGGTATACTTTGGTTACACACACAGAGACATCAGAGAACCCAGATGATTTGTACACATTAAGAGTCTATATGACTTTCATGTTTCCACCTTCGTCGGCCAAGAATGGATTTGGCCCGAGCTCTTGGCCCGGGGACCGCTCTCGCGCTTTCGTTCTTGGATCGTGCCGCCATAGACTTCGCTCCTCCTGTGCCCTACTGCATTGGTTCCTACTGGTCTTTGGATCCCTTGGCTCTGGGTGTTTTGATTGGGGTGGTGCTATTCCCACTGTTGGAACTGCTAGTAGCTTGCAGGATTTGCCTACATCAGGCTCTGCTCCGCCGGCTGTCTCCGGCTCCTCGCTCTAGGCCGCTTTACAGGGTCCTGGATCATTGAATGCCCCCCAAGGTGTTGACTGACGCACAGTTGAGGGACGAGCTAGATCTTGTGAGGGGAGAGGTGGCAGGATTGCAGCAACTGCTTAGAGGGGTTCGTAGTGAAGTCAGAGAGCTTCGACAGCTGGTGCATCAAGGGTTGGACCAATCGAGATCGGCAGCTCTCCGGTCCGCTTACGCTCGTGTCGGAGATTGTCGATTCAGAGGCACCTCATATCTCAGCTGAAAGGCCAAAGCCGTCGACAGCCGCAGGGGTTCGCTCGCATTCTCCCCCGCTGGAGTCAGAGCGAGAAGCGGCCGCAAAGGCCGTTGGTTGCTTCTTGCGGAGGGCTTTGGAAGGGCAGCGCAGAGGAGAGTCCGGTCGTGATCGCATTCCCCAATCATCCTGATACTGGTTGGTCATTCGTGGGATTGACAATCAAGCTTCCTCCCCAATTCGAGTGTTCAGCAAGTGGGCATCATGCAGCAAAGCCGCTGGTGAAGCGTGGTGCGGATTGCGGAGAGTCAATGTTTGTCGGCCTTCCGGCCGTCGAAGACATCAAGCTGGCTGTGGCAGCGGGGGGCTTCACTTGGGAAGGCCTCATTGAGGGACAAATCCCGCACTGCTGGAAGACGAGGGAGAGGGCAGTGAGCACTCGGTTGAAGAGCTCTCCAAGCCCTATGTTTTTCAAAACGGTCATTTCTACCCGGCTGGAATCCTTTCTTTTGACACCCCGACTGTTTCCTCTCAGGTCGTTTACATCACTCGCCTTGAGGGGCATCTGCTCGTGGCCGTTCCATTCACTGCATGGCATCGTCTGAGGGCCAATCGTGCTCTCCCACCGAATACACTCTCGAAAGTGACAGCTGCAGTGGAGGCGGCGATGGCGGACCCAGACGACCGCATGAACATCCACCGGACGTGACGATGGGGGAACAGCCTTTTTCGAAGTTGCTGGACCCAAGATGGTCCGAGGTTTAACTGAAGGACACGGACGACTACATCGAGAAGCGCAAGAAGCCAAAGAGGGAAGACGGCGATCTCTCCGAGGAGCAGCCGTCTCCGAAGCGGAAGGCGAAAGCGAAGCCTCGCCGGTTCGGGGACAACGCTGCAACCCCGGAGGCTTAATTCTGGATGGGATGCAAGTGGAGCAGATGCCTGCCTCGCCGACAAGTGCGACAGTTCCGGGCGCTCGAGCTAGCTCCGGCTCCATCAATGTTCATGCAATCATGAAGTCATTGCCACGCTGGTTGCTACAAAGTCATTGCACCTTTAGTGGTTTTTCGCACACTATTCTCCAGAGCCCGAAGGTCCCGCAGAGGAGCTTCACGTCAAGTGCCGGTGCTGTGTGTCTCCTCCCCTGAGGCGTTCCGGGGAGGGCGTCCAGACACATCATCTCTGGCAAGGAAACGCCTGATTTGTCTTCAGGTGGTGCTTCTGGGCTGGTTTGTCTTGGGCTCTCCTAGTGTGGCTCCCAGAATTTTGAAGTTGGGGGGCTCGCCTGTCAGCAAAGCAATGGAGCATTGTTCACAATTTGCAGCATTTGGCCTTTGACAGTAATTTTCCCATTAACATTGATGCAGACCTCGTGGGCCGGGGCGCCAGCAAGCTTGAGACGTTTGAAGATTCCCTCAATGCGTTGCGCTATGAAAGCTCTTCTTTGACAGCTGGTGCACCTATTGGCAAAGTAAGCAAAGTGTGTGTGAGTCCAGCCAAGGCCATCGAGCCTGACAGGTTGGAGTTTCCTTCACCCCCTGCTTTTGACCCGTTGCCGTTCTTGGACCCTCAAACTGCTCAAGTCTATGAACGACCTCTAGCTGTGGGCAAGACGTGGGCTGACATCCATGAGCGGCCGCCTGCGGTGCATATTCGTGCCACCAGGCAAAACAAGCTGGACCTGCTCAAGAAGCTCTGTGACTCCGGACGGCTCAAGCCCGTGCACAGGGACAATGTCAGAAGTTCCTTTTTGTCTGGCCTTTTTGCGGCGCCCAAGAATCTCACCCGTGACAGATTGATTTTAGATGCTCGCCCTGCTAACATGGCTGACAAAGCTTTGCAGAAGTGGTGCAAGTCTATGGCTTCAGCAGCTATCCTTTCAGACATAGTCCTGGAGGACGACGAGATTCTGATTGCTTCTGGAGAGGACTTGCGAGATTTCTTTTATCAATTCCACGTGGGAGAAGAGCGCGCCAGGCGAAATGCCTTCGCAGATCCCTTGACGTTGGACGAAGCGGCTTATGTCTTTGGCACGGCTCCTGCCGGCTGGCCTGAGCCCATTTACTGTGGGCTTTGCGCCTTGGCTAAGGGCGACCAAAACGCTTGCGAGTTTGCTCAGTGTGCACACCTGGCTTTGATGCTGCGGGCGGGCGTTGTTGAGCCTCATGAGATGTTGAGCACGCAAGGCGACGTACCCAGAGGGCTCATGTCGGTTGGAGTGATCATTGATGATCTGGTGCTTCTTGAGAAGATGCTTTGCAAAGATTTCCCGGGTGTCGAATCCGGGCTGAGGCGGACCCTTTCAGATGAGAGACTTGACAAAGCTCTGCAAGCATATGCTGGATGCAAGCTGGAGGTCAACCTCAAGAAGGAGTTCAGGAACCAAACAGATGCCAGATTTTGGGGCATTGAGCTTGACGGCAAAAAGGGGTTAGTGCGAGGATCGTCGCTGAGAATGTGGCCTTTGGTGGTTATCACGGCAAGGGTCGCCATGCTAGGACTTTGCACTGTAAGCCTCCTCGAAGCTTTAGCGGGGTCCTGGGTTGCATTGTTGTCAGTGCGGAGAAGATTGATGAGCGTGATGAACAGCATTATTGAAGGTGTTGCAATTACAGATCAAACCACAGTGTTGAGGCTTTCAGACGTCATCATCGATGAACTTTGGTGTTTGGTTTTGTTAGGATCTCTAGCTGTGAGCAACCTTCGTGCGCAACACACCCCCTTCATCACTGCAACTGATGCATCCACCGGGTGGCTTGCGGCTGTCAGAGCTGATGCTCCACAAGCCATCTGCCGAGGTATCAAGAAGGGGCCTGCGCAAAGACCGTTGTGCCAAGCTTCCGCCACCACACCAGGCGTGGCGGCGAGCGAATGGGAGTTTGGCGCCGGAGGATGAGCTTCCTGCTGAGAGTTTTGATGCTAGGCCGCTTTGGGTTTTACTAGCTAGAACACTTTATTTTTAAGAGCGGTGGAGGAAACAGGTGCTCAGGCCTCAGCACATCAACATCTTGGAGTTGAAAGCTCACTTGCTAGAAGAAAGGCGTCTGGCTCAGCAACATCAGCATAAGCGATTTCTCTACGGACTTGGTTCACAAGTTTGCCTGGGCGCATAGGTGAAAGGCAGAACAGCATCACGTAGGCATAACAGGGAATTGGTCAAGTCTCTTCCATACATGTTGGGCAGTGATATTTACAGCTCGCACATGTACTTCCCCAGTAAACTCAATAGAGCTGACGGGCCAACCAGAGACTCTGTACCAGAACCGCCTGATATACCTCTGCCTCCATGGTGGTTCGCAGCTTCACAAGGTGACTTTGAAGAGCTTGACAAATGGATTGAGGAAGTAGAGAAAGCAGTTTTTACAGCTGATGTTACCGCAGCAGAGCTCCTTACGCCAGTGCGACCTGAGATGAAGAGTGGTTCCAAACTTTTTTCTAGACTCAGGGACAAACAGCTCTGCAAAACCATCCCTCTGAACGTTGAGGGAGGTGATCTATAGACAGTCGCGCTGCTATTTTGTTGAGAGAATTCCCAAGCAAACAGTTCTTTTTTGGCGCAGACTTCAAGGACTTCAATGTTCCTGGCGCCCCTGACCTGTTCTCCGGATCGTTTGGAGTTGCTCGTGCCCTCATTCGGAACAGAGCACCTTGGGTCTTGACATTCGAATGGAAGCGCAGCGCAGCGCCTCTGAGGATCTTTTTCAAACTCCTCTTCGTACAAAGCTCAAAGAGCTGCTCAGGCTGGGGGCTTTCAAAGTTTGGGGCGCCGCCCCAATTTGTTTTCGTCGTCGGTAGCCGTGACACCGCCCGTGAGATCGCCGCAGTATCTCAGCTTCTGAGTGCAGCCACGCTGATGAGAGAGTCTCACGCCTTGACACGTTTTCTTGGATGGGTTGGTAGGCTTGTCAGCAGTATGCCCCCGGAAGAACTTCTCCCTATAGATTAGAGCGCCAAAGTTTTTAGCGGCTGCATTGTGCGTTTTTGGAAATTGTGAGTTTGAGAGAGGCGGTGCTTTGAGCAGTTTCCGGCACCTCATTTTGTGCTGCCAGAGATGGGTGCCTTCGGTGCGTGCATCAACTTCACCATGTTGGGACCTAGTCTCCCGCTGAGAACGTGTTGAGCCAGTCACTCACAGGGTTCCAGTGCCTGAAGGATTGGTCAAAGCCATGATCGTTGTGGGGTGGCACCTTGGTTGGTACAGCCGGGTCGGGATAACTCTCGTCGCCTACTATGGTGCTGGAAGAGTAGGAGAGGTGATCAGGTGTTGTCGTGTTGACATGCTGTTCCCGTCTGACATACTTGATGTCGACCATGCTGGAATTTTTTTGAATCTTCGGCAGTTCAAAGCATTGGGTAGGCAACCAGCTCGCGTACAACACATGGAGATTCACGACTGTAGCTTCACGTCTACTCTGCAGTATCTATGAACACTATCCCAAGGATGCCCCTTTGTTCAGTGGATCGCCTTCTTTGTACAGGCGGCGTTGGGCCGCTTTAAAGCTGTGCAGCATTCCAAAAGAGCTCAAATTGACACCAGGTGGACTGCGTGGAGGAGCAGCCGTCATGATGTATAGGAAAAGGGTGCCTATTCAAGACATCCTTTGGCGACTTCGGCTGAGGACTCAAGGAACTCTTGAGTCGTACCTGCAGGAGACGGCTGCAAGCGCAGTTCTGGCTAGTTTAGATGCCGCCGCGAGGCAGAGGCTTTTGAACATTGCATGTCTTTTTCCTTGTTTAGGGCATTCGTTTCCAGGCCCTCACTCTTGAGGACGTTTGACCGTCCGCTCCGCGGACGGCCGTGCTGGACAGTCTTTGCTTGCCTGGCCCGCTCAAACGAAGTTTGGAACGAAGCTCGCGCCCCTCTCCTTTTTAGAGGCACTTGGTCAGCTTCAACCGCACAAGCTTGCATGGGCGGAGAAGAAATGTCCGCTTAGCTTGGAGAGTCAGAAGGTCAGGTCAAACATGACTTTCATGTTTTCCACCTTCGTCGGCCAAGAATGGCCCACCACACCCACCCTGCAGCCTAAGCCTGGCTCTTGCTCTTGAAAGCAGGTGGGAACGAAGCTCGTGCCCTTTTCCTTTTTTAGAGGCACTTGGTCAGCTTCAACCGCACAAGCTTGCGGGGGCGGAGAAGAAATGTCCGCTTAGCTTGGAGAGTCAGAAGGTCCGGTCAAACATATATATATATATATACATACATACAATATATAGTACAGATGAGATAGATGTTGAAGATAGCTTTTTGAAGCCAAATTCCGAATTGAACATTACATCCACATTTTTTGAAACTGCAGAGCTGCGAGCAGAAAAAATGCACTGGAATGTATGATTTGCCCTGTGTGAAATCAAATCCATTTTGTTTGAGACGAAGTCACAGGAGCTTGTCTCACGAACTGGGCATCTTGCACTCACCTAGGAAAAGACCCATACCACTCCAGCACTGGTTGCCTATGTCCTCCGGGCGAGGAAAATTGGGTTCCAAAACCGAAGGAGCCTTCCAAGGAGCCTGAGAAGAAAAGCAAAGGCCATGAGCGATGGGGTTGGCGTTGCTCCGGTGCTGTGTGTGAATAACAGGTATAGAGCTCGAACTCCCCCAACGTCAGAGTCTCCTCTCTCCCCTTTGCCTGTCTCGGAAGTTCTAGGATGTTCCACGATTCTAAATATATACTGACAAACAAGTGAAGGTTTTACAGCAAAGACGGGATCAGCCCCAAGACCGTCAAACTGCTTTGGCATTCGGACCATCGACAAACCCACCTGTCCACTTGCCCATGTGGAGAGTATTGAAGAGGGTCATTCTGGGTTTCCAAGGATCCCCTAAATAGAGACCTCTGATGATCCTTAGCCAAGTAAAAGGGGAAATTATCCTCGATCCGATTTGACAGGTGCCGACCCACTGCCGCAGATCACCTGCAGCTGCGGGCGGCAGCGCGAACGGGCGTCGAAGGCGCCAGAGCGGCTGCTGCCCTGCGATTGCGGAGCCGAGGCCTGTGATGCCAGCGAGGCGGAGGGGCCCCAAACAGGGATGCAGCGGACAAAACGGATGGATCAGGGAACCTTATGAGATTTTGGGATGGTGATTTCATGTGGTTTCCGTGATGGAAGACGGGGATGTTTTTTCTGGATTGACAAATGCAAGCTCTTTGGAAAGGAGAAGGGATTTCGTTCTCAAACAATCGGTTTTGAGATACATTTGGGTTCACTTTTAGAGCACGCGACAATGAAATTTACGAAAGCCAGCCAATAGGCTAGGCTGGAAGCATGCTTGCTTATAGACTTTGGTCGCAGTTGTTGGTATTATTACTTTGTCAACTGCTCCTTGCCTTTTACCTTATCACTAGGACCTGCTTACAGTGCTTGTTTCTACTGGCCTTGTTCTTCCTTTCTCAGGTGTCAACAACTTTGTTTGAGACAAATGCAGACGCTTCGGCTTAGCATAGAACAGCTGTCTAAAAATGGATCCGACAAACCTTCGGGCCAGGATTGTGGTATCTACTATATATACCTTTTGGTGGTGCAGGATCTGGTGTTCACGTTCTGCTACAGTTTGCTGCGAACGAAATAGGGTTTGGAGCCTATGTTGATACGGTTTGTAAAACAGAAGACATAAGACTTTGACCAGTAGACCAGCAACGTGTGTTTTGACAACACCTTTGTTTGCTCCTAGGTGGGAGGATGAGACGGCAATGTTGCCACAGGCCATGAGCAACTGGCCAACGGCCTGTTTTAAGGGCCAAGAGTCAATGTGTCTTCCAGTCTGATGTCCCGACGTTCCCCACGACCAACTGTGTTTTGAGGCGTGTTGAGTTGGTAAAGTTGCCGTGATTTGTTCCCTCATCAACTGGAGACGCACACACACACACACAGCATCACTTTGTTTCAGATTTCAACCATCTCCTGTTGCAATAACATATGCACGAACTGTGCAAGCTCGTGCAGAGGAACAAAAGTGCTGGCGGTGACTGCTCATGCACTGTATCCCTCTCATCCTAAAACAGCACTTTTGAATCTGACCTGTGCGCTGCAATGGCCTATGCTTTCACTTCGTTTAAACTGCCAAGGTGCTTCCACAGCTATAGTGGCTGGCTCATGCACCTTGGTGAAGACGAAATGGGCTTGGCGAGCAACGGGAAGGACAGCGCGGATGGTCCTGCTTCTTCGTAGGCTCACTTGTCCCTGCTGATCTAGCAAGAGGCGGTTGCACCACGGCCTTTCTGGGCCTGACTCGATGCTGAGCCCAGGTATTCCTTCTTGGCCCGTGCCATCCAACTGAACGCACGACATCTCAGAGACGGCTTGCAGTCTTTGGAGCAGCAGACGTTTGACTTGAACACCACGAGCCGTTAACACCGAAGTGAACCCGGTGCCACACTCAGGTCATGCTGTTTCTCTTCAACGTCTTCTTCCCCATGTATCCCATGGTCACTTGCTTGCATGATCAGGGCCCTCACATACAGGAACTTTACTTGATTCCGGGGAAGAAAGCTTCTGAACCTGCAGGCTTGGAGTGTTCGCAACATCAACCCTCCATCACTCAAGCCTCCATGAATGCAGTCATTCCACGCAGCCTGTACTGGTAGTTGGACATTGGATGCAACAGGTTGCCAGTGTGCGAGCTCAACATGGGACTAGTCTAGTATTAGTAATTAACTGCTTGTTCACCGTACGCATTGGTATTTGCTGAGATTCTTTCCAAGGGATGTCCAAGTGTCCTGGGAGATAGATTGACATGGACGATGGGTTTTGTTTTGGAGCATGCAAATCAATTGTTGGAATATGATGGAATATGTTGTCATCAGGTGAGTCGCTGCGACTTGTAAAGTAGGCCTTCTTGATGGAACAACATATTAATGGGATTGCTGTTCCTACATCTACACCCGTGGTTGCTACATTGTCATTCCGCACGATTTCGTGCATGGCAAGCATCATGTCTCAGGAGGATCGGCCACTCTTTGGGCCACCTCACATGACCAAACGCACGTCTCAGCTTGGGATCGACTGCAACTGAGGATGGAGCCAAGCTGATCGTTTGCAGCCTCCAGTTGCCGGTGCTCCCAGGGTATGAACGTGTCCAAGCTTTAACACAGCAAACCTGAAGGCGATTCAGATGATTGAGCAGCTACGATTTGGGCAACCTGTCTTTTCAGGAACATCCAAACCGCACATTCAGAGCTTGCTTTGTTCGGCGGCCCTTGGAAGCCTTAGGGCCCTTTGACATTTTCTTGAACTTCCAATGATTCTAGATTCAAGGTCGAAATCACATTCAACTTCCTCGGTCCAGGAGAGCAGAGTAGAGCAGATGAACCTGACACCCTGCGTCCCGCCGCTTAGCCATGAGTCAATGAAGGCCGTTGCAGCCGTGGCTCGTAGCTGTAGGATTGCCATATGAGGACTAGACACCAGAGGGGCGCAAGATGAGGTATCTGCTTGCCTTTCTGCCTTTGCCATATGTTTCAGTTTCCTTTCCATGGGACCTGAAGTTCTCAAGCACATCTCAAGCAAAGGATGGAAGGAAGCAAGTTGTTCACCCCCTTGCTAATTCTAGGGGTAGAACGTATACAAGGCCAAAATACCCATAGACATCCTGAGCTATATTCTGTCCTGCCCACTTGCGGTGCCCAGCCGACATGGGTCGGGATGCCTGGCTTTGTTGGACTCCTCGCCACAGCAGCCATGTGAGTGGTTGCATCAATGCGATCAGTTTGTGTGCAAGTGGTTTCAGTTGCTTGGTCCTAGGGTTGGCCTGTCGATTGCTCTCCCAGACATCATCGATTGTCCCCGTGAACCCCTCAGGCGAAGGAAGAGGAAGCGGGGATGTCAGGACTCGTCTTGCAGCCAGGCTGGGTGCATCTTTGGGTTTCAAGGATGCTGCGTACTATTTTTCAGTATTTTTCTTTTCCGGACCCTCATGAAGCGGCCAAGTTTCACACTTCTATTGAAGGCCATCCCTATTAATCCTATTAGTTTCACACTTCCAAGCAAAATTCCAGTTGACATCGCTGCACTTGGCCTTCCAAGTTTCAAGCACAATGACCACTGCAGGGGCAGGGCGCTTTCGCCCGCCAGGCTGCGGGTTTGCATCCTGGGTGGCACCGCCTTCCTGAACAACGAGTCAGCAGACCTGGTGAAGGATGGACGAGGGCCGCGAGGATGAAGGTTGCACCGGAATAGACCTAATTACATTCGTTGGTTGGTGGCATCCATCCTTTTCCTGCGAATGTCAGCTAGCAAGCCCAAACAACCCACGCATTGCTCAACCTGCTGAGCCTGCTGCACCACAATTGTGTACCCTGCAAACCGTGCAAACCACCCACAAGTCATTTCAGCAGACCTTGACCCTCCTTTTGAGCTTAGAGCCGTCAGGAGCTGGCGTGCAGGCCTCAGACGTAACCCTTGGCTCAGCTGGAGGTGGACATATGCAACAGACTTTCTGTGACCCATTCAATGGGTTCGTGTTCTCTACTCGATTATACGTGCAGGCTCTTCACAAACCAGCATTTGTCTCCAACATGTGAAGTTGACATGGCAGAACACGGTGAAAACACGTGAAAACTGAAAACCCTTATCTATTACTGCACTAGCTACATATGACTTTGATACATGGATGCATGGATGTTGTGACCCAAGGTTGGGAGATTATTTCCAACACTTGTTGTTATATGATATTTATATGCTTTTGTGTGTGGTGCTACTCGCGAACAAGGGGCGAATCTTCGGATGAAGGTTCTGATTGCATTTAATCATTGTTACTGAAACAGTTAACAGCCTCCAATGTTGTCCAGAGCAGTTGGAGCTGAACACCCGCAGACTCTTTCTGCAACACTCTCATCCCAACAAAGCCTTAGGTCAGAACTGCACAAGCGCTTCTCAGGCAGATTTGAGGGTCCACATGACATGGAGAGCGCTATGATAAGTCACTGAGTTGGATGTGTCTTGATGGCTTGGGATAGTGAAGACTGACAATGTCGGGCTTTCGTAGTTGAAGGTGTTCTAGACAGGGAAGTTGGTCGAGTTGGGATTTCACTAGCACCAGAAGGCTTTAAATGACCATCCGAAGAGTGCTCAAGGAGATGGAGTGATCTTCATCACCTGTGGCCAGCAAGGCGTCCAGGCGCCAACAAGAATCAGATTTGAGGTGAGAAGGGAGTTCACAGAAAAAGGATAGGATTCCTCGTGCAAGGCCCAAGCGAACTGCATGCCTTTGGTGCTGAATGACTTGAGCAAAAAGTGAGCATTTCTCTACGGAGAAACATAATATTGGATCCGCAAGTGTGTGACGAACAGGAACGACAAATTCCTTTGATCTCTCTCTCTCTCTATATATATATATATTGTAATATTTTTGTCTATGTCATTTGAGTCATATGTGGTATACAAAAAATATATATATATATATTTAATACAACATATATAAGTCTAGTTCTCTGTTAACTGTATTGCTTATGGCGCTTCCCTCTTCCGACTTTTCAGGAAGCTTTCGCCAAAGGATGTGGCGATGGCTCCTTGGTGAGGCTGGCTATGCGAACTCTCCATGACACCAAGCGACACCAGCGGCCCCGGGCAGTGACGATAGAAGTGTTCATACTTGACAGTACTGTTTTCAGTCCCAGGCCCGGAATGCAGAAGAAAACACACTCACAGAATCCATCGAATTCTCAACAAGTTCACAAAGCCAGGAACCTGCTTGCTCAAGGCGAAATTTGTCACTTCCGCGCGGGTCAGGACAGGTCTTGAAGCGAAGCAAGCCGGGAGTCATATTGCATTGTGCCATTCTTGTTGGGATTCCTATCAGTTTAGTCCACCAGGATGCATCAATCAGTATGACAGCAGACGCTTATATAGGATATTGGCGCCTTCTTTGAGGGACTAACTAGGGATTGCTCATCGACGTTCGGGTTCAATCATCCCGGAACACATGGCGAATCAGCTTCATCCAGCTTTGCATAGGACATTGTGGCGGGGAGGGACGCGGACCAAGTGAAGAAGTTCTTTTTAGATGTGGGTGATGTGTACATCACTGTGGAGGCAGTGAAGCGGGAAAATTGGCATGTGCCACGCCAAGGGATCAAGTCAAAGGGTTGGATGGCTGTATCAGGGCTTTGACTTATTATGTATTCGCTTAGTTTACAATGTGAGCTTTGGACAGGGATGCAGGTGAGAGGATGAGTGGAAACAAAAGGCGGACCTACCACACGTCATGATCCTGATGCTCCCAGGTTGTTGGCCGGATCAGCCTAAAAAGGATTTGGGTCTTTGCGACCAAGTCCTTTCTGCTGAGGTTCCATGAAGGGAATCATCCGGTGATTTGTGGGTTGTTTTCCAGTTTCCGAAAAATAAGGCAACGATGTCGACAACCATCAGTCCATATTGTCCTGCTCCCACTTGTGTCTGGAAGGACGCTTGGCTTCAGCCTTCACACGATTTGTGAGCTCGGATTTGCGCCAGGGTGGTCCTGGTGTAGCGCAAGATGCGCGGCTGGTCATGGCACGGAATGCATCAGTTCTGGCACTGAAGCGGACAGGCATGGAATTGTCATGTCTTCGAATTGCCAGAGAGGAACTGTTGAAGCACTTCTCACGTTTTGCTCGATGAAGGACTCATTCCAATCATTCCAGTTTTCAGTTTTCCACCTGAGTCTTTTTGTTTTTAAACATCTATTTTTGGGATACTTTTCCCAGTTGCCTCACCTAGGCTATTGATGGCACTTGCATTTTGGCACTGCTCAGGTGGAGCCAGTGCAGGGAAGTTTGACTTCCCGCAAGCCGCCCTCACTCCGGACTTTGCCACAGAGGAGAACAGTAAAAGAGCTGAAGAAAACGGAGATTAAGATCTGCCGATATGACGTGGCAACATTTTCACTTGCGTATCTGAATACGCACGTTTGATTGTTGTACATGTCTATGTTTCCACCTTGTGTGACTCAGCTGCACTGTTGAACCATTAAATATTACACCGCACTCTCTCAATGTGGTTGGCAGAGGTGCTGCTATATAGAGTGGACTCCAGTTCGGCAGTGACAGGCATCTACCGACTGAGTTGAGCTGAGGAGCAGTGGGAACTGCTGTGTAGCAGTGCCACCCCTGTCAACAAAGCTGCCGGCATTGCCAGCATCCCAGTTGGCGTCACAAGGTTGATTTCGTTGATGGTCAAGAGAACGTCAGCTGTCAAGAAAGCAGCATCACTTGGAAGAAAAGACACCTGAACGGAGACTTGGGAGAAGACCCTCAACAGTGGGAAGCTGTTTGGAAGCTGTTGTGAGGGGAAGCAAAGTGGTTGGAAGGATCTGGTCAGGTAGTTCATCTCTTCCCTGGTTGTCCATATCAAAGACACAAAGAACTGTTGAAGGATGTTGAGGGGAAGTCAAGTTGAGTGTATTTCTGACATGTTTCAGGCTGCAGACTTGGTGAGCGTCCTTCTCCAGGCAAACATGACGGTTGGGCAGATGTGGGTGTCTCAAGATACGATGTTACTGTTCATCCAACACATACATGGTTGCATCGAGGCGAAGATTGACTGCACTTGTAGATCCGTGAATCCAATGTATATAGGGCTTTTGGCCAATGGAGAGCGCGGGCGATGTTGATGGGATCCTGCCAACAAGTGTGTGTAGTGTTGACCTTGCAGAAGGAGAACTTTGCTTTTTCCTCTTGCATTTCACAGCCGTGTGACTAGCTCCGATTGTACCTCATATACTGTATGTATATATATATATATATATACACATGATGGGTGTCCACAACTTCGGCAACATGCATGCTCACGGACTATGGATTGGTAGTGGTGTGTATGACATTATCAACATTGGTCAACTGTGAGCCAAATACCTATGAACAATCGATTGATGAATACGTAGGTATTCTCTCCAGACAGTGCGCAGTTGTTCAATATTTGACTTGTGTTCCCACTGCAGAGCCATTTAAAGAGCATGTTTCCAACTCGATGGGCAATGTTTCGAACCATCCCACGTTCCCACAGAATCCTATGATTTGAATTTGAAGGCGAGGGGCAGAGCTTCGACGCGCCTTGGCAGTTTGAGGTTTCGAT